CTGTTTTTACTGACTCGTGGCTCGTGACTACTGACTCGTGACTACTGACTCATAACTACTGACTCATAACAACTGACTCATGACAACTGACTCGTGGCTACTGACTCGTGACTACTGAATCGTGACTACTGACTCATAACTACTGACTCATAGCTACTGACTCATAACAACTGACTCGTTGCTACTGATTCGTGACTACTGACTAGTGGCTCGTACCTACTGACTTGTAGCTACTGATTCATAACTACTGACTCATAACAACTGACTCGTGGCTACTGACTCGTGACTACTGACTCGTGACTACTGACTAGTGGCTCGTAGCTACTGATTCATGGCTACTGACTCGTGACTACTGACTCGTAGCTCGTTACTACTGACTCGTTACTCATAGCGGGGTAAACTACTGCATGGACTATTGGAGACCGTCAGACGAGGTGATTACGTGTGCCGACTTCCGAGAAGGTTGGACCCTGACAGCGGTAGTATTTATGACGCATCAATATATCCTACAATACGCTCTGAAAGTTGTTCAAGTTCGGTAATACATTATTTACCTACCGTCCCTCCCCCCAACCCCTCCCTACCCCCCCTTTCCCCACCTCACCTCACCTCACCCCCGCCTCTCCCCACCCCTCCCCTCTCCTCCCTTTCCCTACCCTCCCTCAACCCTCCCTCCCCCATCTAGAGGTGCATATACCGAGGGAGGGAGTTCAGTGACCTGTACAGGATCCCTCCAGTGTGTGTGTGTGTGTGTGTGTGTGTGTGTGTGTGTGTGTGTGTGTGTGTGTGTGGAACTCATAAAGGAGTGTGTGTGTGTGTGTGTGTGTGTGTGTGTGTGTGTGTGTGTGTGCGTGCGTGTGTGTGTGTGTGTGTGTGAAAGTTCATGATTACGAGTAAGTCAGGGCTCGAGTATGACTGTCTCTGTGTGTGTGTCATGAATGAGTGAGTGAGACGGTGTGTGTGTGTGAAGGAAGTAACTGAAGAAAGAAAGAAGCAAATGAAAGAAGAAAATAAAATAAATTAAATAAAATGAAAGAAATGAAAGAAAGAAGAAAAATGAAAGAAATGAAAGAAGTAAATGAAAGAAGAAGGTTGTTAGGAGCAGCAAGAGCCGCACCTGTATTGATCGAGTACAATTAACAGCCTGCCACTACCTGTACTTTTTATATCAACCCCCCCTCCCTCCCTCACCCCTTCCCTCACTTCTTTCCTCCCTCCTTCCCTCACTTCCCTCCCTCACTCCTTCCTTCTCTCACTTCTTTCCTCCCTCCTTCCCTCACTTCCCTCCCTCACTCCTTTCTTCTCTCACTCTCCCTCACCCCTTCCCTCACTTCCTCCCTCACCCTTCCTTCTTCTCTCACTTCTTTCCTCCTTCCTTCCCTCACTTCCCTCCCTCACTCCTTTCTTTTCTCACTTCTTTCCTCCCTCCTTCCCTCACTTCCCTCCCTCACTCCTTTCTTCTCTCACTTCTTTCCTCCTCCCTCTCCCCCTCACTTCCCTCCCTCACTCCTTCCCTTCTCTCACCTTTTCCTCCCTCCTTCCCTCACTTCCTCCCTCACTCCTTTCTTCTCTCACCTTCTTCCTCCCTCCTTCCCTCACTTCCCTCCCTCACCCCTTCCCTCACTTCCTCCTTCCTTCTCTCTCACTTTTCCTCCCTCCTTCCCTCACTTCCTCCCCTCACTCCTTTCTTTCTCTCACTCTTTCCTCCCTCCTTCCCTCACTTCCTCCTCCTCCTTTCTTCACTCACTTCTTTTCCTCCCTCCTTCCCTCACTTCCTCCCTCACTCCTTTCTTCTCTCACTTCTTTCCTCCCTCCTTCCCCTCACTTCCCTCCCTCCTCCTTCCTTCTCTCACTTCTTTCCTCCCTCCTCCCCTCCCTCACTCCTTCCTTCACACCTTTCCTCCCTTCCCTCACCCTCATACACACACACACACACACACACACACACACACACACACACACACACACACACACACACACACACACACACACACACACAAAACTCAATTATTTACAACTAAAAATAAAATAGTTCCCAGGGAGTGTTGGTGTTGTTGTTGTTGTTGTTGTTGTTGTTGTTGTTGTTGTTGTTGTTGTCGTCGTTGTTGTCGTCGGCCACTGCATGTTAAGTCTGTTTACTGGGGCCTTGGGTCTTGTCATGGTGATATTTTAATACTGTAGCAGCCTCTGTGTGTGTGTGTGGAATTAATTCTCTCTGGATGTAAACACGAATTAAATGGACCTAACCTAACCAAATTGAAAATAAATAAATAAATAAGTCAAAAAATAAAGAATGAAAGAAAGAAAGAAAGAAAGAAATTGACCCAAATAAACGCTGAACCTTGAGTGTTAAGTGAGTGTGTTGTCCGTAAGTTAAATTAAATCCTGTTTCTAGCCTTGTGGTTCGTCGTCAGTACCCTGGTCATGTGCACTAACTTCTCTCACCATCACTAACACCTGTTTTTGGGGGGTCCTTGTAAGCTGTATTTTATTGTTGTTTGTTGTTGTTGTTGTTGGTGTAGTGTTTTTATGTTGCTTTTGTTGTTGTTATTGTTGATGTTTGTTGTTTTTGTTGTTGTTAAAGATTTATTTTGTTTACAAGTGATAAATTTCTCTCTCTCTCTCTCTCTCTCTCTCTCTCTCTCTCTCTCTCTCTCTCATGACCCATTAAAGAAAAAAAGGAAACATACAGACAGATTTATTGACTCAGTAAAGGTGGAAATAGATTTAGAAAAAGAATTGGATAGAGTTAGGTTAGTGGTGTTGGAGCCGTACTGAGAGGCTTGAGCCCATTGTTACGTGTACCCAGTGATGTTCTTTTGTTTTGGTGTTTTTTTTATTGTTTTTGTTTCGAAACTTATTATTTATTTCATTTTCGGTGTGTAAAAGAGGTAGTGTTTGTTTGTGTGTTTGTTTTTTGAGGGGGTACGTTTATATATACACACACACACACACACACACACAACACACACAAGCCCTTGCTCTCCTCTTCAGTTCGATGAGTCCGTTGTATCGAGGTCGAGCATGTTTGGTCACTGTCCCTTTAATGGTGTAAGAGGGGGGTATGGGGGTGTTAAGGGGGTGAGGAGGGAGGAGGGAGGGGAGTGAGGGGAGGAGGAGGAGGGAGGGAGGGAGGGAGGGTGAAGGAGGGAGGGAGTGAAGAGAGGGAGGGAGGGAGGAGGAAGGAGGAGAGTGAAGGAGGAGAATATCTTTAACAATAATGTGATAATATTTAAACCCTATGTTATTATTATTATTATTATTATTATTATTATTATTATTATTATTATTATTATTATTATTATCATCATCATCTCACCTTCATACCTCGCACTCCTCTCTCACCTCTCCCTCCCTCTGTAACCCTGACCTACTCTTACCTCATGTCTAAAACATCTTACTACCTCACCTTTCCCTCACCCCTCCCCTAGCATCACCCCACCATCACCCATACCCCCCTCCTCTCACTCCCCCTCCTCGCTCTACCCATCTCTCACCCTTCCCTCACCACCCAATCCTCTTCTCACTAACCCCTCACCCCTTTCTCTACCCCCCTCACCCCCTTTCTCTACCCCCCTCTCACAGAACACTCACCCACCTCAAGTGAGAATAAATTATTTTTATACCTGGGAAAATAAACATATGACTTCACAGCGACTCACGAGCCCACAGGGAGTTACACACACATTGACGGTGACGTGTATTGATTCAGAGACGTGGTGATGAGTCTAACCTAACCTAACCTAACCTAACTCAACCTAAAGGTACAGTATCAAAGTAACATTATAATAGACAGTGTCAAGATGGCGTGTCAAGAAGGTGTCATGCGCAATCCGTCACGTCTCAGGTGTGTGTGTGTGACAGGTGTGTGTGTGTGTGTGTGACAGGTGTGTGTGTTGTTGTGTCCCCCACCTGTTGAGGTCACGAGATACACCTGCTGAAGCGGCGGCGGGAGACAAGAAATGTGTGGAGATAGTGACTGGCCCTTGTTGACGACGCTCCCTTACTCCCTCTCACTCTTCCCTCCCTTAGAATGTAGGGGTTGTGGGAGGGGAGGTTGTGGGAGGGGAGGGTGTGGGAGGGGAATAGGCTGTGTGGGGGAGGTGTGAGGTGAGAGTCATTAAGGTATAGGGGATTTAGGGAGAGGAGGTGGAGGAAAAGAGAAAGGGGAGGAGTAGGAGAAGGAAGGAGTCAGGATGGAGGATTAGGGGAGAAAAGGAGAAGAAGAGGGAGGTAGGTAGAAGGGGGAGGGAGGGTCTGTCAGTGTAGTAGTAGTGGGTGAGCTGCAGTGTAACGCAGTGCAGTACGCGGGGGCATGGTGACACAGGGAAGGCGTGCCTGTGTGTGTGTTTAATACTGCGGACTTGTTGGTCGCTTTACATACATAACTAACTCGACCCACTGAACACTTACTCAACAGACAGACAGACATAGATCATATCCCAACGCCGCATCTTAAAATCAACAAGTTATTAATACTAGATCACACAGCAAAGATAAGCACTAATTTAAGGGAATTGATCAGCATTAAATTAAGCGATGTCAACACCTACAAGAAGCAGCCCAAATAACCACCACCACAACAACGAAACGCTATAATAATGTCTTGGCAACCATTTTCCTTTAGGTGTTTGTTACTTAATCTTGTATTTCTCTCTCGTGGTGGACTTTTATATACAATGTTTATTTTTAATTTGTTTCTCGTTCTTGTACACACACTCCACGTCCGTTAGTGTACGTCCGTTTTCTTTAACTGGTTTATGTACGTTTTCTTTAACTGGTTTATGTACGTTTTCTTTGACCCATGAGGCGTGTTAGGTATTTTCTACTGTGTAAAGTTAGTTTTCTGTTATCAAGGTGGATAGATAATTTATTACACCTGCCTATTATACTCCATGTACCTGTACTAGTAATACCTCATCAGCTTAAAGAGTCTCTATCATTAGTAATTATGTCGATGAACAGAAATTCCTCATTGATTTGTTTTTTGTTTTTTTCAGAGTGTGAGGCTACCTGGCGTGTGGTGCAGTGCTGGAGAGTTCGTGGGAAGAGTGTGTTTGGTTCTGTGGGTGACTAAACTATCCCAGCCCACCCAACCCACCTACCCACCCAGCAGCCACGCCCTCTCTGTCTCTCTCACTCTCACTACATTGGTGACGTGAGACCTACATACCTACCTGGCCAGTTCATACCTTCAGCCTGAGGCACACCTGTTATGGTTCTCGTCAGGCAAGGGAGGGAAGCCTTGGCACAGGATGAGGTAGAACTTTTGACAAAATGAAGAAAGTTTGAGACATTGGTGAAGTTCTGAGACAAACGGTGAAGTTCTCAGACGGGGTGAGACAAGGTGAAGATTTAATTAAGACAGAGTAAATTGGGGAAGACAGACTGACAGATAGATAGACAGTCACGTCATGTCCTGGTTAACCGTGTGTGGGAACAAGTGCTTGCGTCCAGTGTGACCCCAATCCTCCCTCTCATCCCTCCTCCCCCCCTGTAGCATCCATGGCGAGTTTATCGTGCACACTCCACCTAGACCACAACTCCATAATGAGTTCACAATGTTGTAACAGCGGCACACCATTAAAAAGCTGCGTCGAAACTATACCAGAAAGTTCCTAGGAAATAATTGTTAAAGATTTTTCACAGTTAGAAATATTGCTCCCCCTCCTCCTTCCTCCCTCATCAGTCTCCCCACCCCCTCTCTCTCTCACTACCGTCCCAAGTGTTGGTGGAGATAAACAGCTCTGAGACACCCACTTGTTAGTTGCACACGAGTGTTGAGTGAGTCTGAGGGAGGACATACGTGGCGCCGCCTTCACGTCTGGCTTTACTTACGTCCTCCGTCAACCGAGTCGTGGTGTTCTCAGAAGGCGTCGTCACGGTTTCTATAACGAAGGCAAGGACACGAGGAATAACCGACCATTAGTCATAAGATTCACTACTGACGCAGGAATACCGAGAAATACCTCTGGCAGATCCACCGAACAAATTAATACCTCAGGACCTTCGCTCATGATCAACAGACAGCGATCAGCACCCGCAAGAACCTTCACGAGCCTCTCCTGACAGGGCAACAACCTTCATAACCTTTGCAGCACTGGGCAACAGCTTCTCGTCGAAACAACAACCCTCACAGCTGTCGAAGGATCCCCTCAAGTCTAACTAACCGGTTCACACTGCAACACTCCACCACCTAGTATTACCTGAAGGAATCGTCCCTCTCAGATACTTAATCCTACTCTGAAAGTCCTTCAAGACGAGGATATCCCCACAACAGCGGCGTGATGACGGACAAAGGCGTAACAATCGAGAGGTCTCCCTCGGGGCTGGGGATGGGTGTGTTCTCCCCACACCTGGGCGGGGGCGGCGGGTCGACCTGGGAGCAGCAGCAGAGCACCATCATCACCAAGCTGGCCCAGACTCCCTCCTCCACCCGCATCAACCTCCCAGACAACAACTTCGACAAGGAGAGACGAAACCGCCGGACTGACGAGAAGAACAATGTTGTGAGTAGACCAGTGTGTGTGTATGTGTGTGAGTCGACCAGTGTGTGTGTGTGTGTGTGTGTGTGTGTGTGTGTGTGTGTGTGTGTGTGTGTGTGTGTGTGTGTGTGTGTGTGTGTGTAACTACTACCTCCAGTGATTTATTTGCATATATATATATATATATATATATATATATATATATATATATATATATATATATATATATATATATATATATATATATATATATATATATATATATATATATATATATATCACCACTTTATCACCTCATTTCCACCACCCACTAACGCCCACGCCGCCCACAGAACCGTAGTTGTGGGTGTGGTGGCTGGGCGCGGGTGGTACAGCTGGAACACGACTTGGCCGAGTTGACTGTGACCCACCAAAACCTGCTGGCTGGCCTACACCTACAAGTGGACACCCTCAAGCAGAAGAACAGAGGTGAGTAGTGAGGGATGGAGGGAGAGTGAGGGACGGGGAGGAGAGTGAGGGAGGGAGAGTGAGGGACGGGGAGGAGAGAGAGAGTGAGGGAGAGGGCTGAGAGAGAGAGGTTAAGGGATGAGGGAGGAAGAACAAGGGTGAGTGGATGAGGGGGGGTAGAAGAGGGGTTTTGGAAACAGTGGGTGAGGGGTAAGGAGGGAGAGTGATGAATTATAGAGTCTACGTGGGGGGTAAATGAGAGATCAAAGGAAGGGGTGAGGAGGGAGAGAAGGAGATGTAAGTTAGGGAGAGGAGACAAAATTAATCGGAAATATCTCATGAGTATTACTGACAATGAGAGAGAGAGAGAGAGAGAGAGAGAGAGAGAGAGAGAGAGAGAGAGAGAGAGAGAGAGAGAGAGAGAGAGCATCATGAAAACAAAGAATTACGAAAATTGTGACCAAGTCCCAGGTTGCTGATCTGTCTTTCTGCCTCATTTACACACAATTGCAGGTCTCAATAGTTTCTCCTACTTGACAACAAAACATACATATATCGTTTCTCACTGTTGATTTTTTCTTTATAGTTCTTTATTATTATTATTATTATTATTATTATTATTATTATTATTATTATTATTACAGTTATTATTATTATCATTATTTTATTTTACTTTTTTATTATAAATTTTATTTACTCTGAATAATTATTACATTTTGGCCCCCCAGGCCCCGATGTGGGTCAGTGACCTGTGCCCGGGTGGGCTAATCCCCGTAAAAAAAAAATACAAACTTTAGGCCCACGAAGGTTGAGTCAATTACTAGGGTTAGCCTTGAACGTGCTCTTTGATGGATATATGAGAAGAACCAAAGAAAACGAATCAATTTTAACGGGGTAACTATAATTAATTAACCGGGGTGGGCGTATATTTCTATTTCACATAATAAGAATGAAATACTCTGTAACTTGATATCTAATTAAAATAACAGTTTCGTTAGGAGTTTATTATTAAAGAATATTAGGTAGAGTTAGACTTACCATTTTAGATGAAATATTCGTTTTAAATTATTCAGTTTACGACGACTCTTTCTGTCCGCCATTCTCTCTCTCTCTCTAGTGAAGTCCTTCATCCTCCTCTCTCTCACTCACTCTATCTAACTGTCTGCCTCTCTCTCACACACTCAAAAATACCAAGACAACATTCCTAAAGCCAATCCGCACGTCAGATAAACCCGATTGCCTCTCTTATAGACACACAGTTTACGATCCTCACAGACCAGTGACCACAAAGGCACACTCAACCCTAAACTTCATAAGGGCGAGAATACAAGCATAGCGAAGGAGAGGATCGAACACAGCGTAGAGTTGATTCAAATTCTTTTGTCTCGAATCGCTAAGGCAGAGAAAGGTTTACGATTCTACTAACTTGAGATTCCAGTCGCATTGTGGGTAAATAGATTCCAACGCCTATTGTGTGCTACCGATATGGAGTCTCCCAAGAATCGTAATACTAAATTCTTATATTTTTAGTTAAGAGGATTATTGATGTGTAATGTAAACAAACCTAAATAATAATAATAGCTACAATAATAAAAAACAATAGCAACAACAATAATTCAGTCCTACATACACACATACATACTCCCTTTACACAAACATATTCCCCTCCAAAAGACATACATACATACACACACACACACACACACACACACACGTTTTCATCATTCCATCACTTAAACACGCCCATTGATTACTTAAAACACTTATCATTTACTTAAACACACCCATAAGTCACATCCTGTTTCATTCTTGTTCATTGCCTGATACTAGATGACCTCCTGACCTCGTTTATCTCTTACAGACCTGACCTTCCAGCTGCTGATGGGCCCCACTGCCTCTCAGGTCAAGCCAGAATTCCCTTTCAGCCCTGAGAGTGATGAGGCGACATCTCCTAAGGTGAGAGGGAAGAAATGAGAAGGGGTGGAGTGGGGCTGGAGTGGGTGGGTGAGTTAGGTTAGCGTTAGGGTGAAAATAAACTGAGGGGTCTAATTTTCAGGTGATCCAATACCTTCTCCTAACCATGATCCTCTTCCTGTAGAGTGAGTTGCCATCAAAACTAGAGAAAAACAAACTGAGAGGCAATACAGCAGCCACCGCCGCCCCCAAGAACGACGCCCTCACCACCACCACCACCACCATCGGCACCAACACTACCTCCAACACTACCGCCTCCACCACCACCAACAATGACACCACCGTCAAGGTACCGCTGAGCCTGCAATCCCCCCCTGGCGGTCTAACTAATGGCGACATCGTGATCAGGTTAGTGAAGTCGGTGTTGATTTATTTATTATCTTCCACTGTTTTTCATTACTTTTTGTTAGGTTAGATTACGTTAGGTTAGGTTAGGTTTTGTTTTGTTAGGTTAAGTTAAGTTAGGTTAGGTTAGGTTGTGTTTATAATATCTGATAAGGAAGGTGATAATATTAACATCACTACAGTTAATATGCATAGAAGACTATCGTTATCTCTCCTGTCAGTGCATTTTGTCCCTCCCACCCCTGCAGACGCTCGCTAAAAGGTCGTTCAGGCCGTGGTGACCCCAGGCTGGTCCGCTCCTTAGACCTGGAACTTCTGGAGGAGGAAGCCCATCACACCCGGAGGCTCCTGGAGGAGGAGAGAGCCAAGAACAAGTACCTGACCACACTCATCGAAGACCTTAAAAAGTACGACACCTTCTGCAGGTTACATCTTAAAAGACATCTGTTCACAAAATGGCTGCAGGAGCTTTATTAATGTCTTACTTAATTTCAGCCAATTTGTTTGAAGGATTCTGATCCAAAGTACGAGTAGTGAGAGTTGTATCTAAGATGTGTGTGTGTGTGTGTGTGTGTGTGTGTGTGTGTGTGTGTGTGTGTGTGTGTGTGTGTGTGTGTGTGTGTGTGTGTGTGTGTGTGTGTGTGTGTGTGTGTGTGTGTAACTTCCTGGCTAGCTTAGCTGAAAAACGTCCGCCTCGCTAGTGAATGTTGATGAGTGTCTCTCTGTACTCAGTAGTAAATGGGTCCATTATCAGGTGTACTGGTAATGGTGGAACAATCTTTGTGTGGACTATGTAGCATCCTGCCAAGGTGGTGGAGTAACCCGCGCGTCGTGCTGGTCACTGCCCTGGCCCTCACTGATAATGGCACACCCTCGCTTTACCCTTAAAGGCAGTTGTGATCGTCTTGAAACAACTTTTTCTATATTTATGTTAAAATTATTAGTTTTTAGTGCGAAACATTATACCTAATCAGTAACGCGATAAATTTTAGCCCATAAGAGGTAAGATCAGTATCTTGATAAATTTTAACCCATGAGGTAATTTATATTCAATGTATGGATTCTATCATAAAATTATCCAATATTTGGGGAAATTTACGTTTCTACGAAGATATAAAATTGGTAGAGGAACACTTTTAATTTTATATACTGCAGTGTAAACGAATGATAGGTACTTTGGTGCTCCCCCTTACCAGGATGATGACTGCCGACACCCCGCCCCCACCACACCCAGCTGATCCCCACTCACAGGTACGGGTGACGGTGGCGGTTGCTGGTGGCTAATGTACTGTACGGTTTGATGCACCCGATGTTGTTTTGTTTTTCTTTACCTACAGCAAATGGCCAACACCAGAAGCATGTTCCTGCCTTGAGTGTAAAATATGCACTTCATGATATTAAGTTAAGATATAATAGGTTTTATAATGTAAATATTGTCAGTTGGATAAGATTTTAGTATTTATATATATATTATATTCAATGAGGACCTGATTTATTGAACCTTTCCAGTGTATGTTACGACTATGGCAGTCATCTGTTTACACTCTAGTGGCCAAGATATTTAATGATCTCAGGTGTTTCAACGTTCACTCCTACAACTGTACTAATATTTGTAATCTCATGACACCCAACTGTACATGTAAGAGGAAGGTGATAACGGATTTTTCGTGAGATTAATCCATCTATCTCACATACTAGGCTAAGTTGGATTTCAGTTTGACAACACCAAGCGAATGCAGAGATTGATTTTTTAGCATGATTTTGTTCGTCCTGGAAGAAACACAAGGACTCAGATTAAAAATTAAATAAATAAATCTCCATTGAGTGGTGTTTGTTCACTGACCGTCCCCTCCTCCCCACCCGCCAGGCAAGTACGGGAAGCTGCGAGTGAGTCCTCTGGCCTTGCACACCATAACAACAGGATAGGCGTTCCTCCCATTCTGCCCCCGCCTCGCCCCCCACCACGCCCACCTCCACGCACCACCATTCCCGAAGCTGATCAACCCCCCCGCGCCTCCCTCCACACCTCCCCGCACGCCAGACAAGTGAGCATCGTCCACCTGGGTTTTGCACGCTTATAAAATTTTATCTCAAAATTCTCACCATTAATTTAAGAATATCCTTAAGTACTAACATAGAATTAATTACATAATATACATCCAGTTTATTATTTTTTGTGTGTTAGTGGATCTTAATATAGAATAAACTGGTAAGGGAATGGAAAATACAAGAAAATTCATTACACGTTGAGTCATACAGCGGCCATTTGCTGAAAGCTTCGTGGTAAGTATCCCAGTGTGCAATAATCCTCGACGTTTCTTAACACTACACAGCTGCTGTCCTTGCATGAGTGAGGTTTGTATTAGTCTTGGTTATAAGGAGATCAAATACGAATATAATTAGAGGCGATATGATCTTGAAAGCGTTGGTTTTTAGTGTTATTTCGCTTTTACTAAGATTATCCGGATCACCTGAAGATTAACCACCCTAACGCTAACGTAATCTGCATAACCCTCCAGGTAACTTTACTGTATTTAATAATCAGGTGAAATAAGCTGGGGATGGCTAACCTTCACGTGAAATAAGCTGGGGAGGGCTAATATTCAGGTGAAATAAGCTGGGGGAGGGCTAATCTTCAAGGTGAAATAAGCTGGAGAGGGGTAATCTTCAGGTGAAATAAGCTGGCGAGGGGTAATCTTCAGGTGAAATAAGCTGGGGAAGAGGGCTAATCTTCATGTAATCCTACCAAATATTATTATCATTATGGAGTTAAATTCACTCCTTTAAGTTACCCAAGAGAAACATCTACAGAAAAGCTACTAATATCACTGACTTGTGGACTTGTGGTAGGTAACCCAGCGAGACACCTCCCCGCGGTCCCAGCATATGGACCGGTTACTGGGCGCTGCTTCACCGGTACAGAGACGCGCAGCCGACGTAGGTAGGACCCAAGTGGACCGGGAACCTCGCTTTCCACCACTTCGTCAGCAATACCAACAGCAACCACCCCCACAGGAGAAAGGTGGGCGGCAACTTGGACGCAACCCAGCCAGTCCACCCGCAACCCGACGATTTCTTGACAGGTGGGTAGATGTGAGTGACCAGGTGGGTAGATTGAGTGACCAGGTGGGTAGAAAATTAAGATAAAAAAAATGGAGAACATCTTTCTTTCTTTCTGAAGTTTTTTGAAAGTGTTAAGGCCAGAATTTGTGTATGGGGTTGTGAGGTCCTTGGCTGTCGAAGTGTAGAAATATATTAACGTAACAAGGTATAGTTCGAGAGTCAACTTTGTGTGGAGTTTTAATTTCAACCTCAAGTGAAAATTGTTCTAACTCGTCGCCCTCCAGGTAGCGTTACGGTGTTTAGTAATAAGGTGAAATAAGTTGGGGGGGGTTTGATGTTCATGTGATCTCTATATTCTAATAATATTAACGTCGGTTTTTACTCCAGGTCGAGTGAACGCGATGGCGGCACCACCTTTCCAGCCATTCCCGTTGCACGCCCGGAACAGCAACAGCACGAGCAGCAGCAACAGCAGCAGCAGCAAAATCGGGGCCGAGGGAGGTACTTCGGGCGAGGACGTACAAGAAATCGTCAACAACAGCAACAAGGTCAGGAGACTAGTGAGTCAGAGTCTGGTCAGCAGCAGACACGGGGGTCAGGGCGGCCCCAACCACCCCGCGATGATTCCAGAGGGCGGCGGGACCCGGTCAGGACGCCCACATCACCGAGGGACACGTCACAGGGGCCCCGAGGCGGCAGACATGGACGAGATGGGTCGGTGGGCGCCGTGTCTTCGTCACAAGCCGAGCTCAAGCGAGGGGCAACCGGCCAAGACCAAGAACCCCGACCTGAGACGCGCAGTAAGGGGCGTGGACGTGCACACCGACGTGGTGGACGAGGACGACCACGCAAAGAGAAACACAACACTCCACACGAGCAGCCCGAGAGCGAGCAGTAACGGCTTGGGGCTCCTACCTACCTACCTGCCAACACAACCTCAGCTATGCATAATGTAGACAGCTTCTCTATCCAGATTAGTTGTGACGCTGTGGTGAGCCTGTGGTGATGGACCCAGCACCACCACAGGCTCGGCTGCTCTTCTTATAAACACTCACTACCGGCTATTAGCTTCTTAAATATCCGACATAATGATATTTGACTTCTGAGGGTGAAGGATCCTGTGTGCAAGAAGTTGACCGAGGAGGACTGTTGAGCCTCATACTAGTGCCATCTTACGCGCGAACGAGGAACACTCACCCGATTGTTTATTATATATTCGTGTGGCAGACAATCTCTAATGGTCTCACTCTGCACTCGTGTGTAGTTTGAATTGTGATGTAGAGAGCAAAACTTTAAATTAAACTGTATTATGGTCAAGCCAATGTATATATTAACCCCCCCCCTGGTAATAATGGCTCATATTGGTACTTTAAACATTCCAAACACTATTACAACAATGTTTAAACTCAAGCCAAAAAAATCTGACATTAACATAAAATTGATTTACTTGTTATAAACATTAGAAAATGGTACAAATAGGACAGATTGCGAACTGTGGTTTTGCCTCCCTTAGTGATACACATCTGACGAATGGCTACCCTCATTTAGTGTATGACTGAAACAGGCAGTCTACGTATTCATAGTTATACACGGCTGTATGTTCCTGTCCTTTCACAGTCACGTCTCTCAGAATAATGTAAGTAAAGTCATTAGTATTGAGTAACAGGTGACAGCTGTAACAGTAACCTCGTGTCACATCATACAGTCACGGGACACAGCCTTGAGGTTTGACTTGGGTTGTGTGTGTATGTATATTGAGGACAACGGCGTCAATACCTAAGCCAGAGGTCTGTTGGCTATTATGTCACTTTTTTTGATAATTCATTTATTGATTTCTTTTAACATCCTTACGTAAAGTTCACTGCTGCACTTAGACTTGATGGATATTCAAAAACTAAATCCTAACCTAACCTGTACTTAAAAATGCAGAGAAGATTCGTCAGAAACATACTTTATGAAGGAGGAACATAAGAGCTGCTTGGCTTGGTCCTCTTCGCCATCTGACAGCTTCCTTACCGGGAGGGCGAGCGGCCATTCTCTGTCGAGCACTGTTGGCGAGTACTCGAGCATTAGTACAGACAGACAGTGAAATGATGCATATACAATAACAATAAACTGGCCTCCTTAACCACCTCAAGTAAACAAATTTAACCAACTCCATATATAGACATGTATTTAGATATGACTATAAATGTATATAGACAGCTTCTTCCCACACTCATATATAAACGATATGTATAGATAATAATGTGTGCATGTCTTATCAGTTAGTTATATACATATATTACCTTGATATGAATAGACATATGCAAAAACTTACAAAGTACTGTACCTCTAACTGAGACATCTATAATATTTTATAATCTACCGTTTGTCATATATACATTACTTACCTTTAATAAAACTATTAAAAAAAAACCGATGTAGTAACTAGATTGGGTCAGCCAGCCTCGTGACACTCAGGGGCCCTGAGCTGCCAGGCGTACGAGGCTCTCACCATCACCCGTTATATAGTCCCCAGTCACGCAATCAGTGACTCAGTCACTCAGTCTAACGTTCAGTGTTTGTAGGTGACCGTCATCAGCACCCTGAAGCTGTGCTCAGCGACTGTATACTTACTAATCATTTAAGAAATTGACTCGAGAATATATACTTTGCTGCAACACAAGTGGATATTTAAAAGGAACATCTCGTAAGTGTTGGAATCTTATCTTGGGGACTAATGTTGTGTATTATAATGCTCTACCTATAGACGTATCATAAAAAACTATTGACAACGAACACTGATTGAATATTCATATAGTGTGCTAAGCTTATACCAGAATAAGTAATGGGTTTCTTAACCTTCATATTGGCCTGTGCCTTGGCTGGTCTGGCTGTGTATGTCTACGAGACTCGGAAAAAAGGGAAGGAAGTGAAAGCCTAGACCCAGCACTTTGAGGAACTCTTGCGTAGTATATATACAAAAGTTAAAATGAAACTACACATAACGGCGTCTTTGTCAAATTGAGGGTGGGGAGGGTTATCTATAAGCAAGAGTTACCTACAAAATATACAATATGGACCAACATAACTACATCAGAAGATAAGGAAGGACTTAAAATAATATCAGAATGTTACTCAGCTTACCTCAACACACATGGTAGATTCTACACTGGTTACAACAGTCTACAGCCTTTCCTAAATTAACACTAGCACAACCACCAACTGAGTGTTATTTCAACTGACACATAAATCACCTGAGAGAAGTCATTAACGTTTTTCAGACGCCAAACTGTACCCTGTAGCACAAGTTACTGGCCCGCTACTGAGGATTTAACCAACTAAAATAGATCTTTAAGCAGTACAGAAATAACACCGCACCAATGGCATTACCATCTTTTTAATCCATTACTGGAGAAACTATACACAGTTACATGATGAAAGAAACACCAATACAAGATAATCAGACAGTACTACTCAATACCATGATTGTCACAGGCAAAGATGGCAGAAATAGTGAAGCTCTACAAATGAGACCTTCGCGTCACTTCAAGGTAACCACTTCAGGGACAGTAATGCTGACATAACACATGCAGAGTGGTGAAGCATTCCAACACTCAACAACACACGGCACTTGGAGAGCAAGGAAGAGAAATTTTAAGTTATCATATACAAAATAATAGATAAAAGTAACCAACATTAGGGCATATGAAACAACAATATACAGGACATTTACAAAAAGTCTTACTCTAAACCCAACGCAGGATTTAAATTCGCTTTTTATTTTGTTAAAGGACAAAGTTACGCTCAGCTGATCACCACCTCGTCCTCTCCTCTCCCTACTAATATCAAGCATCTGCAGGAGCCAACGACTAACTGGACTTAGGCAATAACTATTTTAAATTAAGCAACAAGTCACTACACATACCACAAGCAACACCTCTTCTACCAAACCAGCGGGCAATAGCATCACTTAACCTGGTATCTACCTGAATAAACGTTGAAGAAGAAATGTCCTGGCCTGAGGTGGTGAAATGGTTCGACCAAAACAAAATCGTTCTTATCGCCGTCACGTGCTCAGGTTGGTGAACTTTATATTATTAAGTATTCCGAGGGCTTCTGTAGACTCTGACCAATTATGATGATTTTAATAGTGAATTTGGGCATTTGTAGTTAACGTAGCCCGAATGATTGATATTATACATTCATGTCTTGGGTTTGCTGAAGATTATTGGGTAATAGTCTACAGCAGCATTCTCTTATATGTAGAGTAGATGGAGCCACTTGAAAAAGTTTGTTGAATAAAATTTATCTCATCCATAAAAAATATTAAAATAAGTTGGAGGAATTGCAACTTTCTGAATTTAGTTTTTGCGTTTTCTTCCTTTTAACGTAAATATAGCGTTGCAATTCCACCCAAAAAAAAATTATTTTCGAAATACGTAATCAGGAAATTAAAGTATATTGTACTCTCTTTAAAATTTTGAAACAAGTACTTAAGGATTTATGATGCTTCTTTCAAAAGATGCTTAAAAGTATTAATTGGGAAGATTATAAAGAGACGAAGGGGATGTGTGAGAAAGTGTAGGCCATTAAGTGTGGACGCGTATATTTTGCTTGATTTCTTCCAAAAAGGTGTAAATATAAAGTTCGATTACTAATGTCCTTTATTTGGGAGTACAGTAGATTCTTCAGTGTGATAGCTTTTATATTGTATATGTCAGTAGATTATGTTCGTTTAGTTAATTTTAATTTATGAACTATTACATAAAACTTTTAAGTGCGTAGTTTAATCCTATAAATAAACATTGGAGTCGTTTATACACCAGATTTTTATGTTAATTAAAGTGACTCGGTTCGTTCTCTATGGTTCTGGGACACTAGAGAGGTGTATCTTTAATTTTGAGTTGATGATTGGTTATAACACCACACAACAATAGCTTGACATCGCTTAGTAGTGTGGCAAATAATGTATCAACATCCTTTTTGACGAGCAGCTTAGACTGACTGTAATCTCGTGAAACTTTAAACTTATTGACAATTGAAATGGCATTGTGCTGTCAATTGACCACTTACGATAAGACGTAACATGACGTCACCTCGTCTACATCTGGATTAGACAGTTTATGTCAGCCACCTGAGCTTTGGGTGTTGTCATTGAAGCTGACCACATCCTAATATAGGTTACGTGATGTTGGACAGCTTTTAGGGGTTTTGTTACTATGCATAGTTATTAAGAGCTTCACATACGCCACTTTGGCTCAGTAGTCACCCTAGGTATTCAGCATGGATAATGGTGATCAGATTGTCTTATAAAGTGGCCTCGTGTCCAATTCATCCTTTGTCTGGGACGACACAAGCCCGCCCCAACAGACCTTGTATAGTGCAGCCATACACTAGACACGTACTGTACTATATTTAGTAACTTAAAAGAAATCATTGGTTGCAGCTCTAGTGGTCTGCTTATGTCTGACGTCAGCAGTCACCGTTATGCAGGTAACCTGAGGTAAGTACAGTATATTATTATAACGAGATATACATTTTTATGGCGGTTATATGTAAAGAATATATTCATTGATTGGCACTTAATAACTCAAGCGGTTGAATCCGAACAATATTTTGTTATCGAAGCTAACTTTAATAGTAATAAAGCACATCTGTTAAAGTTAATCGTAATCACTTAGTTTAACTTTAGGACACCATCACCGCTGGGTGGGTAATATAATTATATTCCTCTCAGTCTTATTAATTTAAGTGAGAATGGATAGTTCCGAGCCTCATCAGTTGTTGCAAGAGTCAATACAGAATGAACAGTCATTAGTCTCTGTGAACATCACGAGGGGAAACCACTTCCGTCCCTCGTCTACCCTTGTGGGTCTTCCCAGTAAGGCCCCCCCCCCCTCTCCGTCCCAGTCTCTATGGAGCTTTCCTTTTACCCCCCACACCAGCCCATTAGTCTCCCCCACACAATCATCCCCCCTACAGCTCCTCCCCTTTCAGCCCCAGGGTACGTCTTTGAGATGTCATTATCATATTTTCACATCGGAATAAGTTCATTGAGGCAGTGTATCCTCTATCATCAATATAATTTGACTCTCGATTTCTCAACCACGCTCCCCGGTTTTATACCCTAAATCAGTGAATCTCAAACTGGGGTCCGCGAAAAGTTTTTGAGAAATAGTGTGTTTAACGTTTGTGAGAGATTTGGCGATTCCAATTCGCAGGATATTTTGGATTTGAATTGAAATGAACAAATGCTCTGGACTATGATTTATTCTTTGATTATTTACAATATTTGTATGCGTCATGGTATATAAGGGGTCCTTGGTTGAAAAAACGTTTGAGAACCCCTGCCCTAAATGATTCACTCCAGCTTCATATAGCTCTTCGAAGTTTTTTCTGCTCTTCTGTACGATTCATTTCCGGTTCGTTTTATTTCTCTTCGAAGCTTCAAGGGGAAGCTAGTTGTTCTTCCGTTCTCTGGAGTGGTGAAATTCGTGGTCATTCGTGTAACAACCACCATTATTATTATCATCATCATCTCTACCACCACTATCATTCACCATCATCACCATCACTACACCCTCACCTAACCACCACAACCACCACCGCCACTTATCCTCAACGCTCAAGACCAACACCAGCATCAAGACAGTATGGCAGTGAGGGCTAGAGCGGTAAGTGACCTTGTAAAGCTCCTGTTTAAACGCCTTTGTCGCCATCTGCCTGCTTGGAAAACACTCCCATTGATGTTCTCAATTGACAAGACTGACCGAGGGCTCTTGGCCGGTCACTTAGCCCTGGGATGTAAGGAGGTGCGTCGGGGGGGGGGGCTGTTTGTAGAGGGGAGGGAGTACCTACATGGGCGTTAGACAAGGGGGGTAAAGATTACAGGAGAGGGGGAGAGATTAGACAAGGGAGGGAGAGAATAGAAGAGGGAAGTAGAGATTAGACAAGGGAGGTAGAGAATAGAAGAGGGAAGTAGAGATTAGAGGAGGGAAGTAGAGATTAGAGGAGGGAAGTAGAGATTAGACAAGGGAGGGAGAGATTAGACAAGGGAGGGAGAGATTAAACAAAGGGTAGGTAGGGATTAGAGAAAGGGAGTTACAGATTAGAGAAAGATAAATAAGGGTGAGAGACGGGAAAGAAGAGGAGATTAGACTGGATTAGGAAAAAGAGAAGAAAAGATTTAAAGAAGAGGTAAGATTAGCGAATTGGGACCTCAAGACCAGGTGATGTACAGAGACATACAGGTAATATACACAAGACACCGGGTGATGTACACAGACACACAGGTGATGTACACTGCCACCAGGTGATGTACACTGCCACCAGGTGATGTACACAAGACACCGGGTGATGTACACTGCCACCGGGTGATGTACACTGCCACCGGGTGATGTATACAGACACACCATTATCACCTGACCTCCGTGTAAGGTGAGGTAAATCACTTTATACACCTTGAAGGCCAGCCACGGAAGCCTGACACCCTCTCTTTCCCTCTCTGTGTCTGAAGCTGATTAACGTGGTTGCTGTGGTTCTGAACTTCTTCGTTAGAATGTTGCCGTAGTTATTGCTGTAGTAGTTGATGGGGTTATAACTACCTGTAAATATTGTTGTGGTTTTAGTTGTTATTGATGTGGATGTTTTTTTTTTGGGGGGTTACTGTGGATGTTGCTCTTGCATAGGAGGTTATGACTTAAGAATGCATCCTTTCCGTCCGCTTGTACGTCTGTCCTCCTTTGCGTCTGTGAGTCCAAGAATTTTATATAAACACAACAACTCGAACAAAACAGTGAGGGATTTTAACCGGCTTCGTCACCTCCCTCACCATTTCTATCACCACCATCATCATCACACGGTCACCATCACACCACCACCAGCATCACCAGGTCACCATTACCACCTCACCACCTCCTCCCTCACAACCTTCACCACCAACATAACCATCACACTCCCACCACCCTCACATCATCATCTCACTACCACCTCCCTCACAACCATCACACCCCTCACCACCCTTCCCTCACAACCATCACATCCCTCATCTCCATCACTACCCTCATCACCTCACCTCCCTCACTAACACCACTGTCACCATCACACCACCAGCATCAGCCAGGTAATACTCATCACAGTGGATATCAGGTGTCTTGTGAGGTCACTGTGGTCTGGGGACGTCTAGTCTCTAGCCGGTCTGAAACAGTATCCCAGTGTCACATGCCTCGCTTTTAGGTGAACTCCTGTTACCTCGCTCTCTGTCTTTCTCCGTGTGTGTGTGTTTATATTGTAGATCAAATGATAAAGACACGTTAAAGAAGGGCGAGAGAGAGAGAGATGCAATACTCGTGTAGAATGTGACAGAAAAGCACTACTAATGTCAAACGTGTTATTAAATCTAGTTTAGTTTGGGCAAGCCGAGGAAGACGAATGAACTAAGGTTAGGCAGATTAAAAAATGAAATTAATCCCTCATAAATAATCCCTATATAATGAAATCCACATCTAGCAGTCCGTGGCCATCACTTATACAAAATCCATATGTGCTTGTTCAAATCGTCATCTTGAGGAGTTCAGTACTGTAGTGTTATTATTTCTTGTTATAGAACTTAATGGTCAAGACACTGAAACAAATGATGCACCAAGAAAAGATAAATTGATATACATATAGAAAATGTAATGAGTAGATAATATTCGTAAAATTGTCGAGGGAAAAGTATAGGTTGAAATGCGTCAGGACCCGTCCATGCACCAACCAGTCAAGCGCGACATTGATTTTCATTCGCACTCGGGAGGCGGGGAGGAGGAAGGGAAGGAGGCAGGAAGGGGGGCAAGGAGGCTGGGAAGGGGACTGGGAGGGAGAGAAGGGAGGTGGAGGGAGGGTCTTCGGCTTTAAGTTGACCAGAATTGGGCCCCCTGGATTGAAGGGGAGTCAAGTTGTGACAGTAAAAAACAAGTTGATCATTACCAAGTCATTTACACCTCCCATCTATGTTTTGTTTTGTTTTTGTTTTTGTTTTTTGTTTTTGTTGTTGTTTGATAAGTTAAGTTCTGTCTGGGTTTTATGAATTCGATTATTACGGCGAGGCGGAGGATTTAGTTAACTCCAGGGACAAACTCTTATTACTGTATTATTGTTATTGTCGTCAACGCCATTATTTTCAAGCATAAATATCAGCATTGATTCACTGAGAGTGGTTCCAGTGGGTTTATCAATCAACCCATTGTGAGTCAAACATGGGTCCGTACCAGGTTAATTAATTGTTTTTTTAACTTGTATAAAATCAAATCCTTAAAGACTGCATTTACTTACCCGGCAAACCTTTAGAAAATTAACCAGCAACGCCCATTCTTCTGGCGGAAATGAACTTTATGACCTGATTGTATTTCCTTCGCTTCCTATCAAACTCCACTTCCTCCTCCTGTCATTCCTTTTCCCGTTTCTCTTGCATTATTCTCTTTTCTCCTCTTAACATCAGCTACGTAATCACCTCCCCCTGTTTGACTAGTGTATCTTATATCAGAGAGAGGCAGTATGTTGGCCGCCCCAGTTGTGTCGTGTTGTGTGTTCGAGGAGGTAGTACAACTATCGCTGCCACGCTGGAGTCCTCCCTCACCTTGTTACTGGGCTATGGTGGGTACACAGTGTTAAGATGATACGTAACTAGAACGTGTTTATACTGTCCATTGTAACTGATTGATGGGTAGTACAGTACTGGTACCTTTAAAGTGAAACTCAAAGTATGTGTTGGGTTACAGGTAAACACTTAGTATATCTACGAACGTTCCCGATTCCTTGGTTTTAGATAATCTGATTGAGTGTGTTGTTCAACTCGTCCGAGCTCTTTGGGAGATTACTGTCCTTCCCTCAAGAGCTTTGTCGTCGCATAAAAGGTTACACCACGGACGAATACAGTAGCACGTGAGTCCTCATATCCTGAACCTGTGCAAGAATATATTGGTTGCACACATGACCTCAACAGTTTACAACACCTGTGTGAACACACAATAACATAAATGGCGCAAGTGTTTAAGTTCTTGTAGTTGAAGCACCATAAGAAAAGAATAACGCTGGTTTAGATAAACACAAGTACATTTACAGTATAACAGCACAGAATGATAGACAAATTGGGTAATAAAATTCTATCTCCGAGTACTTTTCAACAACCTCTCATTAACTGAAAGGTGTACGTTACTATACCTGTCACCTCAACTGTTGTTGAGGTAACTTTTACAGCGGTGAGTATTATATAATAGGTGTGTCACGGTCTCCCCTTGCAGTGTTACTTAACAAGTGTGTGTGTCTTTCTGCTCGCTTACAGTGGTAGGTGCTGGTGGGTTCCTGGTGGGGTTGCGGGTATGGCTACAGGGTCCCAGCTGCAAGAGCAAGGCGCGGCTGGATGGCAAGACAGTCATCATCACAGGCAGCAACACCGGTATTGGCAAGGAGACCGCTCGAGACCTCTCAAGACGCGGTGAGTCACTGAGTCAGTCAAGTGAGTCACTAGTCACTGGTTTGTTGAGTTCACTGACAATTATGACCTTCGTCGACTTCGTTTTGTTTGACCCTTGACCTTGATTTACACTGTTTCTTCAAGTTTCTTGGACCTTTGAACTTGATTGATTTAGTTGACCTGTGATCTTGACTGATGTAGTTATCTATTGTGCATCTTGACCCTATGATCTTAACTGGTTTTCTCAGATTTGTGACTGACTAGGTACATTCTTGCAGGAGCCCGGGTGGTGATGCTGTGTCGAGACCTGCAGAAGGCGAAGGTGACAGCAGAGGAGATTCACCAGGAGACTGGCAACACAGTAGGCATCTACCAACTTGACCTAGCCTCCCTCGAGTCCATCAGGAACACCGCCAACACCCTGAAGGACACAGAGCCTAACATACATATCCTTATCAACAATGCAGGTGAGGGCAGTACTGGTGGAGGTCAGCACAGGTGGGGGTCAGCACAGGTGGGGTCAACAGAGGTTGTTTTCTATCTTGTTTTATGTATCTCCCTGATTGTGTTTGTGTCATGGCAGGTGTGATGATGTGTCCTCGCTGGGAGACTAAAGATGGGTTTGAGATGCAGCTGGGGACCAACCACCTGGGTCACTTCCTTCTGACGCTGTTGCTGCTCGACCAGATCAAGGCCTCGGCCCCTGCCAGGATCATCACGGTCTCCTCCATCGCCCACACACGTAGGTCCAGATGAATCGTTTTTATTCGTCCTACATCTTACATAGAATCCTGCATGTATATAAGAATCCTTCACTCTCCTTATATAGTCCTGTACAGGTAAGATCCTCCATCCAGAATTCTAGAGAGTACTACACATAGATATACATTCCTACTTACGTATTCAACATCTGTATTATAAATAGCTGTCAGACAGATTAGTTTTAGGGTCCTGCTTGTGTTGTGACTTCATTGATATTGCTGAAAGTGCATTGTAAGTATCCGTGTTTGGTTTTCTGATTGGTTAATATTTGTTTTGATCCAACTGTTATATATTTGTTCTTTTAACATCCCCAGTTTTGCTGCCATTCCATCCCTCCCCTCCTGGTTTACCCATACTCATGTCCTAACCCTCCTTTTTCCTGCTCTCCCCAGCTTAACCCCATCACTACAGGGACACCAATTTTAATATTTTATTCAGCTCGGAGGGGAACCCGTACATTAGGGGTTAAATGAACTCTCTCGGCTCCTGTCCGTCTTCTTGCTGTCTATCCATCATGCTGTGGCCCAGACTGACCTTTCATATGCTATAGCCACCAGTCCTCTACCCTCATTCATGTTCCAGCACTGTATCACTAATGTGTTTACCCCGCTGGCACAGAGGGCAGGATGCACTGGGAGGATCTGCAAATGAAGGAACGCTATGAAGCCAAGGAGGCTTACTGCCAGAGCAAGTTGGCCAACGTCCTCTTCTCCCGTGAGCTGTCCAGGCAACTCCAAGGTGAATTCCCTTACATTTTTATGTTACTGTGCACTGACCCATTCACCTAAAGCTGCAGTGATGATGACTTGTTTTGATTTTTGTTTTCTTGTGTTACTTGTTGAAGTTATTGTTACTAATACAGTAGTTGTAATGGGTATTTAATCTTTGCTCTGCTAACCATGGTGCAGCTCTGTTCACACTTTTTATGCCTATTGTTTCACCTTTTAAAAAGAAGGCAACATGTCTAATAATAACATTGGATATGAAGTTCGTCATCATCGTCAGCATTTTATAGTAATTTTCCACACTTGTATTTGTTAGGTGTGATTATCTGATGGCAGTTCTTCAGGTGTTTTATTCATATAAAAATTTGTAGATTTTTGGGAGCTCCAGTTTGTTAATGGAGATTCACCATACACAGGAACAGGAGTGACGACGTACTCCCTACACCCTGGAGTGGTTCAGACAGAGTTGGGTCGTCACATACACCAGTCTGTCAATGGGTTCATCCACTGGGCTTTCCACTTTTTTGGCAACTTCTTCTTCAAGACTGTGGTACGTGGCGCCCAGACTACCATCCACTGTGCAGTTGAAGAGTCACTTGCCACCACTTCTGGGAAGTACTACAGGTAAGGAAAGTGTCTAGAGAGAAGTCATTCAAACAAAGGAAGTAATACAGGTAGGGAAGTGTCTTCAGGGAAGTAGGATGGTTGGTCCATGGGGGGGGAAGTACAGTATTATAGCTGGGAGAGAGCACCTTGAGAAGTAGAACTGTTACCATACAGAAAGTAGTACAGTTTAGGGAAGTTACCACAGCTGGAGAAGTGTCTGGGGGTAAATACTGTAGTAGGGGAAGAAATTTAATTTTCTGAGAAGCCAATAAGTCAAGACAAGTAACATCCAGAGGGTCAATATTCAGGATAAACTTGACACTTGCCCAATTCTGTTCATGAGAGCCAAAATCCTTGTCAGTTCACCCATCAACAGCTTTGCACGCTTTTGTGGAGGAGACAATGTTTGGGCCTTTCAGGAATATATTGTCCCAACAGAATATACCACATATAATTTCTTTCTTTTTCTGTGTCTCAGTGACTGTGCTGAGAAACAACCTCATCCCCTGCGTGTCTGTGACGATGATGCCAGAAGACTATGGGACACAAGCCTACAGCTGGTGGGTCTTGACCATTACAGTGCATAGACTGTGAAGACCTCAGGCCAGAATTCTCCAAGGTTCGTACATCTAATTTCTCCTCTAACTGGAGAAGTGAGAACATATTTAACTGACTCACTTGAGCTGTGGCAGAAAGGTGATGACCAGAAGAGGAAGATTTGGATACATAGATCTGTGCCTTCATCAAATACACTGAATACAATTTTAAAAACATTGGTGTCAAATTATGTGGAGATTGCCATAATTACAGTACTTAAGTCCTCTTACCTTCAGCTAAAGGTGAAATTCAGTATACCGTATATCTCGGCCTATAAGACGAAATTTGAACCTAATAAAAATCAGCCTAAAATTAGGGGTCGTCTTAAGCACCGGGTATAAAATTCTTACCTCTTAAATATTGTGGTTTAGCATGCCAAGAGTGGTGATGGAAAACATCGTAAACCACTCACAAAGTCCTACCACTAATTATTTTATACTGAAACTTATATTTGGGAAGCAGGATTAAAAATAAGATTACCGGTACTGTATATTAAAATAATAAAAATGTATTATAAACCTGTCTAACATACCTTAAAAGAGCAATATACCCCGGTAATAAACACAGCTATCATCATGCACCCCCCCCCCCCGCCAATTGCCAGTGACGAGACAAGACAGGGAAAGTGACCAGAGGGGTAAGAGGGGCGAGGTAGAGCTATTTTTAGCAGTCTTTGTGTCCGAGGTGGTCAATTATGCATATCGGTATACTTACTGATCATAATACTTATCCCCTATAAATAATTCATTTAAAATTTATTTTTTTGCAAAGAATGTTCAGTAAATGACTGGTTAATTCTTGAAACTACCGACAGTGGTAAATTTAGGATGAGAATGATGAAGACGAAGTCAGGTCATCTGATTCGGAGTTTGATCCTTAATGATCACCATAAATGTATCAGGTCTACTTCACCTACCAGGTATAATGGTAGCCTCCCTTTGTCGCGAAACAAGTTTATAAATTAAAGAAAATACTTGCAGTGTGTTTAATATATTACAGTATATTATAAATAAATACATAAATAAAAAAATAAATCTGTAAATCCATTTCAAGTAAATGGAAAAATTTTACTCGACACCAACATTATAGTTCCAGTTAAATAACAGACGCTTAAGTGACTTAAGTGACGTCACTAGTGTTTATACTACACCAACCGGTAACATTTGATGACATTACTTGAAGTGAATTGGCCCTATTTTAAAAAACCAAGGATGTGTAAACAACACTGGTCAATGGGATGGTTGGTAAAGGACTACTGGGTCAGTAAGCTTCCAAGGGTAAGTGTCACATTTGGGGTACCGGTTTTATACAGCGAATAGAGCTCAAAACCTACTTTTTAAATGAAAATTTTTGGTGTCGTCTTATACACCCCATCGCCTTGTAGGCCGAGATATACAGTATAAACCTTTGGAAATCCAAACCATACAGCTTCTACCTCACACCATGACACAGTACACACATCATTCTCTATTCAACATCAGTTATTCATTTGCTGAGATGCCAGGTAGTAAAACTAAATTCCTCTGCTATATAAACTAAACCTTGATACAAGCACAGCTATCACTTACTCTCCGAATGGGTTGAGTTCCTTGAAAAACATTCGGATAGTGAATACTAACACTTTAACTGGGGAAAATAGGGTTCATGTTTCCAATGATAAAAAAAAATTGACATTATGCTTGAAAAATTAAATCAGTTCACAAACAAAAAAATGCTATCTAATTAGTGTAACTTAGTTCCTAACTACTGTATGATAATTGCTAAACTAAATGAAATATACTGAACAATGGGTACATTACCTTATTGGAGGGCAGTCAGGGCTCACCACAGGAGGTGAGGAGGGCTGGGCTGAGTAAGGGCCTTACTCGATGAGATGAGAGCTGTCCACCTCATCACTGCTGTCTACTGAAGGCAGTCACACCAGAGGTGGAAGGAGTAGAAGATATTTTCCATGTTGTCCATCACAGAGTGATAAGGTCAGGTTAGCCTGCTTGTTCCAATCTGTGTAATGTTCTCAGCTGCTTGCTTGATCTCCTGAGCATGCTTGAAGATCTTGCCCACAGTAAAGCAGGCAGGTCTGGGTCTCTTCTTTTCTTGGTTGAGCCTTCACCCCATTCATGACCCTTGAGTAACTCCAGCTTGGTTTCAAGTGTAATAGCCTTACACAATCTCTTGACAGTGGTGGGAGGTATCCAAGGAATCAGAATAATGTTTGGATGCCATGGCATATAAATAGACATACAAATGACACTAATATACATAGATAAAGAGAAAGCACTGCACACACATCGAACACACTTCGAATGGCTGGCGCGAAGACGTGAACTGAAGGGGATGGTGGAATTGTTTTGTTCAGTGAGTGACGAATACATTTTTGCACAATTCTTCAGGGTGGCCACCCGGGCGCACGATTTGACTTTTGATCGAACTATCTTTTGAATAAATGAGAATCACTTTCATAGTGATAAAAAGGTATAAGAATGGAATTTTCATAGTGATCATTCGGATAGTAAGGAATATCTGTAATACACATAATTCTCGTTATACTTGTAACAAAGTACAGTACACACTAAATACAGTATTGCTAGCAGTACACACTAAATACAGTATTGCTAGCAAGTTTAAGCAGCACATTTGCCTTCACACATGTATCACAACACACTAAACACTTCTTGCTACAGTTGGCAGAACAGGCCACATGTACTTGATATGCTGCAAGTGAGCAAGAGTGATACAGCTTCACTTGTTTACCAATGTTTAGTGTGTTAATGTTCTGATGTTTTTGTAATATACAAAATTATCTGTACAGGTTCTCATATTTCTTGTAGAGTAGCCTGTAGGGTTCCCAGCCCTCTGAGACCACCTCATGTATGTTTATTGGATGCCAAATGGACCATCTATATTGATTAATTCAGTTTTGTGTTTCCAATATTTAGCTCAAAAAATTTGAATACAGTATTTGTTTGTTTGTGTCTATACTTCATACAAAGTACACTCATGACCTCCCTCACTCCTTAGAATGCTAATTTGTCAGAGCTTGTCCAAGAAAACCTCCATAAGTTACAAGTGAGAAGCAACAGTGCTCGCTGCAGAAATGGATCACCACTGACATAAGTGACATGTGCTGTGAGCCAGTCAGTACTGGCCTCCTCCAGTCAGTCCAGTGTGTTTACTCAGCCTTATTTTTGTCACCATTTTAGGTTTTTCCAGACATCAGTCAAAAAAAATCCCTGCAAGTGTTAGTATTGGAAATGTGACAAAAGAGTCAAGTCAAGTTAAAAAATATCACTGTGGATGTGAGAATGTAAATGGTTTGGCAGGTTAGTTTTTTTTTATTACATTGATATTAGTATAATGACAAATTTATTATTAATATTTCTTTAATAAGTATAATGTTCACTTTCTGCATTATAATTAGTTATTACCTACTGATGCCTCGATGAAGTCCTCACACACACAGAGGCTTGGCTGAACTTTAAATCACTTATTTAAAATATAACTTTCTTTGGACATGTGTGGTTTCCTGTCCATGGTGTAAAACCCAAATATTTTAACTTATTTTACAAATCAAGCATAATCCACACTGCTTCCGACAGTACCTTTGTAGATTTTAGTGATGTCACTTCTCATGTATTTCAGTCTACATTTCTTCTTAACTTTTGTCCATTTAGAATTTCTCAATATTCTACTACTGTACTGCCAGTCACCTGTCCTTGCAGCTAAATTTCTTTAAACTTATTTCCACCATTCTAACTGCATTGGCCATTTTGCTGTTAACGGACAACCTTGCAGGTAATTTTGTCATCACGCCAAAGGTCTGTTTCACTTACCGAGCTGCCAATATGGGTCCATATCAGTTACCACTCAGCAGCTGCAGTTACAAATTCTACTTACTGTACTATCCTACTATAAGTCCTGACTTCCATTGATCATCCTGCATGAAAACTTAAAACAATATAAAACAATAGGGAAATACTCGGTTGTGGCCGAGAATGCAAGATTTTTTTACTATGGAAATCTTGATTTTGTTTGTCAGCCTTTTTTAAGAATACTTGTACCATCCCCAACACAAACAAGAATGACCTGTGCTGATAACTTGATACTTCTTGGTTAGTAGGACTCCACAAGTTGCTTTTGATTTGGTGCCAAGGATTTTTGCTCAAATATTCCCATTATGTAGATTTAGAAGTATTAGTACATTACTTCTTACCTGTGCTTTGTTTTAGTAAGTTAGTCATCACAGGGAATGAACCAAGGCTGTACAGAATTATAATGCGTGAGGGTATTGAAGTCTACAGTATTGACAAGTCTCTTTCCTTTTGTGTTGTCACGTGTGTATCTGCTTCACCTTTTTTCCATAATGATTTTTTTTCCCTTTAGTGCCTTCGTGCTTATATGTACAGCTAGAAATAAAACGTTCTATGTCTGTCAATTATTGAATGGTTAAATTTTCAATGTTATTTATTCTTACAACCTTAACATTAATACTGAAGAAAAATTTTTTTTTCCATTATTTCATAAGGTGTTTCTTGACAACTTATTTTCTCCAGGTGTTTATGATCTACTGTATGTCTTTATTTTAAAAATCACTGAACAATTTTGTCGAAGCCCTTAGTGTGATGCTGGGATGTTGGTTTGTGTGGTCCTGCATACAAACATACCAGTGGCATACAAATTATATCATCTAGATGGGTGGAAAAAAACTCATCATTTTGATAAACCATGTATTTGTGTTGAAATACCAGGTCCCCCAGCAATACCCCTTAGGGGTACCAGGTAACAATCTCACGCGCCAGACAGGGCAGCACACGGGCACCAATTGTAGCACTGGTGTGATATGAGCATTGAACAATTGACAGGTTTATTTCCAATGGCTAATAACAATTACGTCAATGATTAGATGATTGTTGTACATAAAATTAGGAGGGCTACATCAGCTGTACAACAGCCCCACAACCTGCAGGCAACCAACCATATCCTTGTGACCAATACCCCAACTAATAAATGTACAAGTATGGTCATGTTGCTGTAATTCACCAGAAAGAAGTCTTGTACAATCTTGGAGAGCTGTGGCAAGAGCTACGTCATGGTTCATTCGTGCCAAGGTAATGACTAAAAACTTTCAGGTTTGCAGCACCATATATAACTCTGAAGATGATCCACGACTTCCCTTGTCACGTGCATAGAGGGGTATAAGCACCAAACAGCTTCCTAAACCCCCCTACAACCTGCTATAGCTCACTAAAAACCCCTGTATGCCACCCGCCCCTAGGACAACCACACACACTGCCACACTGTGTTCTTGGCTCCTTGCACCATACAAAACAATAGTAATAGTAATCTTGGTCTATGGGGATTATTACCACAGTACTGGATATGCCGACGCAAGGCGTCAGAAGACAAAAGCAAGCCCACCCGGAATGGCTGGAAACTTGAAAAGTATCCTAATGGCCTACTGGAATCGTCTTCCGTTTGTCATACAAAATTAGTCAGTAAAGTATGTACCACTGCTGCCACCATATATATGCATAATTTGCATTGCATAACTACATTTCCTTAGTAATTCTGTATGCATAATATCAAGATCCTCTGTGAATATGAAAAGCTAGAACATAACCTTAACCATAATGTTAGTTTTTTTGTGTTTTTGTTTTTTTGCATGGTACATTACTTAGCTGTCCTTATGAAGAGAAAATAAAACCTTACAGAAGGGGTCTCATCACTGGAATGAACTTTGTAACATGGTACAGTATAGCAGAGTCCAACCAAAGATTGCTCCTGCTGCATAGTGTGTAACAAAGTGTTCATTAACAACTCAAGAGTGAACCTAAGGAATAATAATAATAACAAAAACACTAAATCAATGCTTGGCAAATGCCCCCTACCCCTGCAGCAATGAAACCAAAGAAAAGACATGTAGGGTGACCAGATCTGCCACCAACCCTCTTCCCCTACTGGTCATACTCATGGCATTAAATAATCTAAGCTCCACAGTGGTACTTTTTTCATGGCATATAAAAGTAAAGAAAATTTACCGCAATGGAACGTAAACTACCAATTGCAACAAACTCTACGAGCTCTTGAGACTCTCCTGCAAGACTTCACCACCATTGGCAACATTGCACTTTAAAATGCCACATGAAACTTGTTGTCTCACTTTAATATATATATATATATACACAAGTACATGTACATATATATCTACAGATAAATCCAAATAGTGGATAACCTACAAAACTTCAATTTGGGTGTAATACACTGGGAATTGAACTCTGTGTAAACCTAACATGAGCTTGTATTGGTAACAGTGTTGAATAACTGTCTCAGTCCTTAAAAAAATTTCCTTAAGAGTAAAGTGCGATCATCCATAAACTGCACAGAATTACAAAAATTATATGAATATTGCAGCTCAAGAGGTTTACCCACATGTGGTCCCAACATGAAACAGTCTGCCATAAAGCAATACTTTCAATTTCTCTTCCTACAAAAGAAGCTCAGTACAAAATACAGTTTTAAATTGAAAGAACTTCATGGCAGAAGTCATTACAGTGCATGTGGACACACCAACACTGTGGCTAAGAATGGACGTGAGCCAATGCCAGTGAAATTCTTGCAGGTCAAGGCTGCTTGCTTGTCCTCAATCTGTTTTGTCACTGTGTGGCTCCAGCACCCTGAAAATGACAAAACACAGGTATTAATTATAATCAATACAACCTCTTAACTTCCTAAGTATTATGGGCTCTAGACAAAAAAAAATCCTATTTAGCACTGAAAAATCTTCTGAAAATGATATTACTGTATATACTATATAATTTTGCTACAGTAAATACAGGGGACCAGCTCACAGCTTGTAAACATAAATATGGTTATGTTAGTACTGTAGATTTATTGATGGACAAGCAGTAACAATAAAACTTTATATATTCAAACCATATTAAAATCTTTTGTATGATGAAGGCAGTTTATATTATAAATATTGAATACTACAAAATTAATGTTACCTATCCTCCTTCAGGGCAAAATATTAATTCAAACCATTCTACATTTTAGTCCTTTGGTTGTCTATGGTGAGCTACAGTTTATGGGCATCTTAACACAGTTCGGGTCACAAAACTAACGACTCTGGTGGAAATACACACGACTCGAATAAAAGAAAAACTGGTGCAGTGTTCTTTGTCTTTTGCATCACTTGCAAATCATGCAACAGGATTTAAACATTTATACACAAAAATATATTTTTCCTACTATACAACTGGGTGTGGTATCTACAAATACAGTACCTCATCTGGCTAAATTTTTTTGTTATACAGTACTTATTGTGACATATCTTGTGTACCCCCATGTTAAGGATGATTTACACCAGTGTTTACATCATGTACAATAGTGTTCCTTCAGGGAGTTCTGACAAAATGTCCACCCTGTTCTTTGCCATATACCTGACTACCTCGACTCCAATTACTCTCTTACTAAATCCTTCATAAACCAGACACCTGACCTCCTACACAATAAGTCTTATTTCACGTCCACCCTAACACATTATCCCTGGTTATGAATCACTTTCTGCATTTCCCTTTTCTCCGAGTCCTGTGATACCTCTGCACTAAAATTTCTCAATTCCCATCAACACAAATATAAGTTTCTCACCATGAAATTAAGCAAATTGACACAGGAATCTGTCTCAAGTACAGTAATATGGTTAATGGTAACTTTTCCTCCAACAGCATCTACTAATGCCCAAAATAACAGTTGAAAAAAAACCTATGGCATACAACAATACACTCTGCAAAGTGCTCTCTCTTGGCTGAAAAAATCATGTGCTTGATTACACTCAAACACAAAACAGTGTAAGAAACCTGACCTCACTAACAATACATACCAGTCACACAGCTAATGCAACAAGCAAAACCGATTGTCATTTAGTCATCCCAGTATCATACAATGCTAAAAACGTCCTATGTCCTGAAGCAGTTCAATCCTTCAACTTTACCCAAAAGGCCACTTAAAATACAATATCCAAGACAATTCACAAACTTCATGAAAATTTTATCAAATGGTAATTAATATATCTACACTGTACCCCTATATAATCCATTAAATAGAGGTCTCACTGTATTAATAGCAATGACTGATTGATTGATTGGGTAAAATATCTGGCATCAGCAGTCCTGGAGCACCCTGTATGTCTCTCTTTCACCTGTCTCCCACCATGCTCACCAACCATTTCCCAATAATAAATGCCCTGAGCTACTGTCGATATAGAAAAGTAACAAAATTAAGATAACTCTATTGGTCTAGATCTCCCATGATGCTAGCTACAGTATCCTGTAATAACTCTTCAGTTTTATAATCTTCATGCATTTCTCTTCCCCCTAACCATCCCTCACAGAAAGTGTGAAAGGAGTTAAGAAAAGGACAAGCTAAAAAATATACAGTAGAGTACCTAAAGAGTCACTTACAAAAAAAAAATATATGGGAAAAGACAGATGATCATAAACACTGTCTAGCTGCACATCTCTTAACTGTATAAAATGCATAGTAAAGGAGAGGGGGGGTCAACCATCATGTTTACACCACACAAGCCATTACCATAAAAACTAGGCAGAAGCACATACAACAAGCCAGCCCAAACGATACAAAAAAGGCCTCCATATTTTTTTAAGAGAATATATTAGCCATTCACACAAGCTACAGGAATGAAGCATTTTCCCTTCATGCAACCAAATATAGTTATGAAACAGACGCTCTTCTTAACCCCCTCACTACGGGGACGGCCACTTTTAATATTTTATTTGGGTAACGTCCGATGATTTTATTAAGCACAAAGGGGAGCCCTTACATGAGGGGTAAAAAGTTACGTTCAATACTATACCTTAGTCATGCAATATGTGTTTACCTGTATGAATGGATATGTCTAAAGGCTAATAGGTTCAGGATCACACCTTTAAACACATTATTTACAATACTGTATATATACATTTCCTGTAATTTTGTATACACGAACTATTACAGTATATAAAAAAATATACTGTATATATATAATTGCAGAGTGCTTGTGTAAATAAATGGCATGGAAACGATGCACATTGAAGGACGTAATTATATACAAATCCAGTCCATTGTAAAACCTTCATGCAGAAAACTGGACAACAAAAACTCCATAACAAAATACCAGAGATGAAGCAAGATAAAGTATTGTCAGGATAAACTCACAAGCCGTGCAATACGTAACAAAATTATAACTAACACCTTATTCGTATTTATTTCCATGTGGGTGGATTAAAGTGCAGATACCGTACTTTCTGTTTACCCCAAATTTTCAAAACTGCGTAAATTTGTACATTACGTACATCATGCACCATCTAATAGACCAATAGTATAACATTTATACTTTATTACAAAAATAACTAAATTTACTGTACAGTTATCATATACAGTACTAAGAACTCCAAGGAAAATAATTATGTTGTTTAACATCAAAGCCACAAGCTACATACAGCGATACCTCCACCTGTGACTGCAGTAGACATTTTTGCTCGTCACAATATCTGTTCACGCTCGTTTTCGTGGCTCATGATACAAGCCAAGAAACGAACACAAACCCGAGATTCAGATATTCGTGAAAATCAATACTAATGTTTAAACGAATCACAGAAAAATGAAGGTATTGGTGTAGGCATAAAACTGCCGTGCATGAGTCGGCCCAGTGCCCGTGGGGGGACAGCCGGCAGGAACCAAGGTTACAACACCAATGCAACTGAGGAACAATGGAAATACCTTAAGGGTCAGTGCTTTTGCCAATTAGTTTTCCAAAAAATCCCTGAAATAAAAAAATGGGGTTAACGGTCTGCAAAGAGGCAAATAAAATAAGTGGATACACCATCACTGAGCTATGTATTAACAAGCCAGAAGTTAGTCAAGACACATATATGGCTCATGCAACACTCAGGAACTAGTACTGTACAGTAGTCTAGTCCAGCTCTAACACAGGAAAGACGGACATCTGGAGATAGTCAAAACTGTACTCCCTTATCACAATGTACTGTACTGTAATATTCATTTGCAAACATATTTCTTTAAATTCAACTACAAAAGCTCATTTGCAAAATATTCCTTTATATGTTTGAAACCAAGGTAATCCTACAATTAGAATTTTCATATTATATAATGAAATATCTACACTTACACTAAACATAACCCAGTTTTAATTTCATACTTCAGACCACTGATAATTTTATGAAGGACTGATCTATTGGCATGATCACCAAAAGCATGATATCAGAAGATATGGTCTGCAATCTGTATTCTCGTTCTAAACTACAAATTACCTTTTGCAAATAAATACCTTACACTTTAGTAAAAACAGCAAATTAGATGATTTGACTTTTGATCTTCAATACAATACAATTTTATCTCCAAAAACCAGCTTAAGAGAACTGGAAAATTATCAGTTCAACAGGTAAACACATTATTCTCAACACCCAACCAATGTAGTAATTGAGAGTACAAAGCTGACAATGACCACTGGGGCTGCTGCAGCTGCCTTCACAGATGCAAATGTAAAGCTAAACAATTTGAGGATGTGGAAAAATCACTAGCAACTCTGGATGGACCTAACATGTGCGGTACACACAAGTGACAGCCATGGCCACAATGGGACTCAACACCTTCACATCCTTTCTGTAATTTGTAACTAATATAACTTGAACCAATTCTCTGCCGTCTTCAACCCTGACAGTAATGGCTAAAGAGAATGAGCAAATTTGTGCACTTTTCAACCTTTGATAGTTCTTAAATGACTGATAATTTTGCAGTTTCATCTTACTGACTCCTGGAAAGGGACACAAAACAGAAAAAATAGACAATATACAACAAACCATTGAGAGAATTACACAGAATCTTTGACACACATTTAAAGAACAAGTCACAGACAAGGGGGCGGGAGGAAACTAGTTAAAAATTACTAAGACTGATTGTGAACTGCAAAATAATGTATGTTACTGCTGATAAAGGCCAAGGGGACAACAGCAGCATCTGATAAATGGAGGAGTCGCCAGAATATAAATACATGTATGAACAAAACACTCCAGATGAGACTTGGGATACGTTAATGTGTTTGTTTATTCAAATCACGATGAAACAAAGCTTGAATGGAAAAGCTTATGCAGCAGAAATCTACATACAACGGACGACAAAATACATACAAAATAAATAAAATTCCAAGTGGCCACCAACTACCTCAAAAAAAAAGAAGAAAATCTACCTTGGGAAAAGCCTGAACATCACCATCCCTTTGCTTCAATTGGTTCTGGAGAACAAGTTGTTAAATCTAAGTTGTAATTAAATCTATTGGTGGTTCATGGTCACACATACACCCCTTTGCAAAATAATATCCACATTAGACAACCTTTAATTGTCCCATTTAAGTTACTACATACACCTATTTGTACCTTCTGTGATTTCTGTAGAACCCTAAACTGGGATTAGAAAGAAGACCTATCTTGAAATGCAGTCAATCTAAAAAATAAAATATTTCCTGTAATACTGTATCTATTGTATTCCTGGTTAGCATTACAATACAGTACCTCATCGCTGTCTCTGATCGAGTCAGATGATAAGAACAATGTGACATAATACTCGAAAGTTAGTTTAGTGTCAAGAAATGTGTTTCCATTTCATCATTTTCTCATCTCCCACCAACCTCTGACATTTCTGATAACTATAGTAAACCCCCCCAAGATATACGTCAATCTAACCTACCTCTGTCAGTCTGTCTGTCTGTCTCTGTCTATTCATCTCTACTCTCTCTTGTTAACCCCCACCATAATCATCCACTACACATTATCACTAATGCTACTACTATTGACAAATCCCATCACTTCACCTATACTCTTGCCTCATACATTTAACGTCAACAACATGCACCTTCTCATTTCAGTTTTACTTTCTAGCTTTCCAATTCTTAATCTGCAATCATGGCTAACAGATTAACCAACAGAATTTTTATTGGTAACCCAACATCGATTCTTCTCGTATCATGCATACTCATAACCTCGTTCCTTTAGATTAATAACATTACGTCATATCATTTGAAAATATTCAAGACAATACAATGAATAATCCAGTTTAGTGTATGGCATTCACATCAATAAGAATTGTCCAGGAACATACGGAGAATATACAATGTATGACTCATACACACAAGGCTTATCATAGACCAAGTGTCCCCAGGATTACTCTACAATACTGATGGAGTAATTGTTGACTTTTCACCTTCTGTTTTAAATGCATTATGGGGAGAAAATATTTAATCATATGTCAACAAAATATACCACTGTAAAAACATACCAACTGGTAACTAACAGCAGGTACAGTAGCCACTTAGTTTATTCTACAGCTTGAAATTCAGTATACATGATTAGGGCAACAACAATTTGGTCAAAAGCTTTTACTTAGTGGTCATCATTAAAAAGTGTGAGTTGATATGAGTCTTCATTTAAGTGTAAGCTGATCTGAGTCTTGATATATTTAATGCCTGTGTTCACTTGAGCTTCTGATGCTGACAAGTCTTAAATTTACGCTGTTTTATGATTTCGTCTTGGAAGTTATTGTTGCTTACCTTCTTTTTCTTTTTGGTCTTTTTAGCAGACGCCCCTGACTGAACCTGAGTGGTGTTAGTGTCTGTGACTGAGGCCGAGGAAGCAGACATCAGACTGGCGGTGTCGGCCCGCGAGGTGTCGTCCTGGTGAGCGTCAGTCAGCGGGGTAAAGGAGGGGGAGAAGCATGCTCTGTTAAGACACCCTTGCCCACATCTACACTCCCACTGGCCTCTCACCTCTACACCGTGACCACTACACCACTCCCAACCAGTCACTATCCAGGACGTGGACATAAATTCTTCAGCTTTTGTGAAGAGTGTGATGCAAGAAAATTTGAATTCAAGATCGATTGATTTTATTAGGAATATAGTCTTAATGCCGCAACTGCCTTAAATTCAAGATCTATCTATTTATATCCACATCCCTTCAACGTGACATTCAAGTGCTCAGGCACCGCTGGTGACACAGGACATGTTAGTAAGAGATTAATCAATTGTGTAGCACCAGTAAACATGCATGTATTTTTATTAAGGTGCAGGAAAGCGCTCAGCCATATGAAGAAGCTACATAAAACTTTTGGAATGAGGAGCAACTACAGTACTGTATTTAAAGAAAATAGCAATCAATTGTTATTAGGCATCATAAGTACAGCATAATGGAAGCCTATGCAGCATTCGGAGCAGCAGCCCTGAAATAACCATGTTAGCACCACTTGTTGCAAATAATAATGCCTGCCGAGTTCTGGTACTGGATCAAGAGCAGGTAGTTGTGGATCACCTGTACAGCAAAACCTCTATTTAATGGACTATATGGAGAGGAAAGTCTGTTATATTGAGGGTCCATTAGATATGAAACCCCTCATCTAACAGATTATATGGAGAGAAAAGTCCTTTATATGGAGGTTTCACTGTACTGTACAGTACAACATCAGCGCCCTACGCTAGTGTGTGACAGCAGCCAGAGGGTTATTTACACCAATGTGATGCACTTGGTGGCTGCTGCTGTGTCTCAGTTTTATGGGAGGACCACACACACACAAGACAACCTGCATGACAAGTTTTAAGTCAATCATCACTACCAAGGTACTCACCTCCTGACACTGTTCCTCACTGACTGGACCATTTGTGCTTACAGTCTGTGGAAGAAGTAATTATATCATTATTATAAGGATAAACAACTTATCAGGGAAGATACAATTATCAATATAACCCTCAACTAATCAACAAAATAATCTTTGAATTATCTAGAGAAGAAATAATTCACTTATCATAATGACTTGACTTTGCGGCTTCAAAAGAAGAGCCATGCCACACGTGGTGTCTGCATCACACTCTCAGCAAACTTGAAACATATTTCAGCAGCAGTGAATTGGCAAAAATAATGGCAAGACTGAAACATATTTCAGCAGTAACGAATTGGCAAAAATAACGGCAAGACTATCATTATAAATCTATTTTCTTCACTGAACTATGATGAATGTTATCTGTGTATAAGTGGGATTAAAAAATCATCACCAGACTTATTAATAATCACTCCCCTGAAGTTGGAACATTATGGAGAAGCATTTTACTTATGCCCGCCCTTTCCTGCTTCAGTACAGAGCGGCTAGTATCATAAGTAGCACACATTCCCTCATTCAATCATCCTAGTTCTATTATAAAGATCCTTTTCCACAATACGCCCCTCCCACCACAAGACATTTTCTGTTTTATCTCCCCCCATATTTGATAAGATACAGAAATGAAAGAAGTGTTACCCTAAAGTATAAACACTCACTTATATATACATGTTGAGGTCAGCCTACCATAAGTGCTTCCTGGATATTATGTTCAAATTACTATTGAACACTAGAGACAGCAAACTTTCACCACTCCAGCAAAATAAAAATACATCTATCACTAACACTAAGCACTGTGTGGAGGCAGGCAAGGTAATGACTTCACTAAGAGGCTGATACCGAGGGTTGACCTAATAAAATGATGGTTTGTAGTAGTCTAATGCCAGTTACAGAGCACATAACTAGTGATGACAGACAAGACTCTTTACACTTCAGCTTTAAGAGGCAGCTATTGCCTATAACACACATGTTTGGATATGGTTGTGACAAGATTGTTTGAATTCATTTTTGAGTTACTTCCAGTCACTACTGTCAGAGATTAGTAGGTCTTTAGCCCACATACTGAGGCAGGTAATATCTGAATCCCCTGAGCCAAGTGTTAGATTCTTAAAAGCTTTATTAATGCATATCGGCATCCCACCACCGCCACACACTCTTGCTCCTAGCTCGAGATAAAAAGCTTGGGTGGTAAGTACACTTACTAATGTAGCAGCAGTCACTAAAAAATGACAATGCAAATCAATGAAAAACTACAATTACTTCAGCAGAGGCCAAGGACGAGATGAGATGTATGGGCAGTGTATGCATGATCAAATGTATTAACAGTTACTCAGAAATTGACACTGTAAACAAATGAACAACTACACTAACTCACATTCACCTGCCTGGCTCCCTTACCCACAAACATATAGTGTACTAAAATTTTTTTACTCTGACAAATACTTTTATACCCCCTACTGTAGTTATCTATAAAGCAAATACTAATACACTCTAAGCCTGACAATCAACAGAAAATCATCTAACGTTAGTAAACATGCAAAAAAAAAAAGTCAGACATACAACAGTGTAACAGAAACTTGTCCTACTGTCTATCACATCTTATAACAACATGCAGATTCACAAACATAATTTTCAATACATTCAGCAGTACTATCTTACACAGTCAATAAGATATGATGACAACAACAACAGCCACTATCATGTTAGCTACACAACAGCCATGAAAGATCTCTAAAAAAACAAAAAAAAAAAAAAAATAAAATGCCTCCTAGTAAAACTTTATACTTGCACACACTTTCCTAGGTCTTGTCATGAACTGAGGACAGAGATACCTTCATTTCTTGGTATTTCCCAAAGTCTATGAATTTTAGTTATTGTTAAAGGTTTTGGCTCAACTAACAGTACTTCATATAATACTGTATATATTCTAGTTTGTGTCATTCAATTACAATTTAACATTACTGTCCTTGATAACACCGTCCTTTTGTATGGAGAGTTTACTTACATTTACATATATAAACTTATTGGTGACAAGATAGAAACCATCTACAGAAGGTTGTTGAGGTTGTCCCACTCCACAACACTTACTGTACACTTACCAACATTGACCAGTTTTGTCTCCAAGAACATCACACCAGGTTTAAATGTAAGCATTATGTTTGTACACACACACTAGCAAGTATTTATCAACATTTATACATGGTTGATGTCCCAATACCTGTTAAAAGACAATTGTCCTGCTTAAACTGACATTCACATTACCTTCAGCATCAACAAATGTTTGGTTGGTCTTCATTCATTCATTAGGTCACACCCACAGATCATGAACATCACTTGTAAGCAAAGCTACTGTACCACCACAGCCTACAGTGAAGCTACAAAGCTGGCTCCTTATAGTCAAGTACGATACCCAGCAGGAAAGGAATGCAAGCCAATGACTGGAAGTTATCTAATAAGGATAGTAACAAAAAAACTATATGTTGCACAGTATAGCTTCCAATAATCATCTACAGTAATATTAAACACAATACAGTACACCAAATAATAGTCATATGCACTGATTTAACAGAACAAAACCAGCTTTACATTCACAGACGACACAGCACCATGGCAAAGGTGGTAGAGTACGGTAAAGTGAAGGAGAACCAGAGTGGCAGATGACCCAAGGAGCTTTAGGGCAACATGGGAACTGAAACAGCAGCTGAACTGTCACCTGCTGTTCCAACGAGTTGATGTTGTTGATGGTGGTGGTGGTGGTGTTGTTGCTGTTGCGTCCCACCCAACCAACCATGTAGCCCATTTTACTCACACGGCTAGCGGCCAGGGCTGCCTGCAACACCACACAACACCCACTAGTGTTAGTGCACCAGCCCCCACTCACATCACTTTCCTACTACACTACTGCTGCAAACACTAACAAGCACCCTCACACCACTAGAAAGCTGTTAACATTAGTTCTATTACTAAAAAATATGATGTAAGTTTATTAATATTTCTAACTAAAACTTCTAATCCCAATCCACCAGCTCCCACCACAAGGCAGGGTTATCTAGCATATTAATGATATTAATATTCAACTAAAATATTAATATTGAAGGATAATTTCTACCTTTTACTCCATAAAGAAGCAAGAACTACCTACTGAAACAAATGATTTACTTTGTCTGCAGTACCCTACCCCTCAAGGTGAGTTTTCTACAGTATAGGGATGCAAGGACAAGGACATAAGTGTTCTAAATGGTTGACTTTAAAATATTAATGAGCTACATATACTGGAGGTTAGGTTAATTATTAGTTACGTTATGATTTAGTTAGACTTGTATGGATTACAGGACTGCAGGCACTAAGAGGAAATGTGTGGCTAACCTATTATATACCAAAAGAGTGATGGTCCAATGAGTAACATTTTGTGGGTGAGGAGAAGAGGTCACATGATGTCAGTGTTTGATCATGCAGTACCACCACTTCTCTACAAACCTATAAAGCAGTTCTCTACCAAAGCAGCAAACAATATGCAGCAACATCAAGCTTAAAAAAAATTCTTGACAGGCATCCTCAAAACCAGAAGAATTTAGAACCAAATATAATAGATATAGCAGACTGAGTGAGCATGAAGACAAAATTTAGTAAGGTGACTTACATGCAATTTCCAAGAATTAGGGCAAGTACAGTAGCTATGCAGTACAAAGTTACAGCCAAAATGCATGTTAATACACAACACTCCACTCTCCATTTCAGGTCTCATTACATTCACCTTACCTTTCGATTTACGGGGACTCTCTGAGTGTGGGTGCATGTCTGATCTTGACTTGATACTTATAACGCCTGTAATCACTAGCTAGCACACAATCACAAAATGGTGGTTATCTGATCTTTTTACCAAACCTGACACACACGTTTTCACTCTGATTTGGAACCCAATGAGACAAAATTTGAAAATGACTGCCTGTTTTTCTAGCTAGTGACACCAGCTTATTGTTCCTCCCTATCCAATGTGATTTGTCCACACAAGTTACCACGCCACAGTGCCCCATCTATCATCACCTACCTTAACAGCGGCAAGTTCCTTCTGCAGCTGTTCAATTAGCTCCTCCTGCTGTCGGCTGGCATCCTGCCCGACACTGACCAATGTTCGCAGCTTGTCATTATCTGTCTTCAGGTCCACCAAACTGGCTTCATCACTACCACCGCCACCCTGCACATGATACTGAGGGTTGGTCTTGGAACATGTCAACTCACTTTGCTTGGGGGGAGCGTCAGGCCAGACGCCGCCGCAACCCCCCCGCCCCCCCACAAAACTCTCAACTACGCACCTAATGGGGTATTTCTTTCTGCACGTTAAATAAAACAGACTTAACAGGAGGAGGAGGAGGATGAAGAGGATATTGTTATAAATTAAGACACTAGCAACGTTACTTCCATGGGACCAAAACTAAGGTAAATTTACTTAAAATATTTACTGTCAAGAGGGTGACAAGGGTCTACAGCACTGAGTCTTCAACACAGTGGGATGACATCTTCCAACAACCCACAGGACGTGCATGCAAACCCAGAAAGTACTGTAGTAATTCTATGTAAAAAAAACACGCACAATATTTCTCCAATAAAACAACAATGCCCAAAATTATCCAAACTCTACCAACAATGCTCCTCCAACAAAGATTAAATAACACACTATACATATACCAAAATTCACAAGATACTTATATTAAATTTCTCCTCGACTCATTCCAAGAAAAACAAAATGACTGATATATTTTTCAAATAACTTAAAATTATCTCCAGTATTAAAAGGTGATTCCTGACAAAGTTAATTCATCGGATAAATTACCATCTTTCTTTCACTCTTCCACTTTCACACACAAGTTTTATCTCTTAATTATAATCTAAGTGACATATATAAACTAAATATTAATAAATCATCAAGGGATATCTCTGCTGGCTTGTACAAGCTTGCAAAATAAAATGTGGGTTCCTGGTAACGCTTCAGAGCAAAGACATTAAAATTCCAATTATCCGGAATGAAACGCCAGTCTTCACTCCTCTTCCTATCTCATTAATGATAAGGATTTCACAGCATCTTCTTGCCAATTAAGTTTTTTTTCAATGACATGTATGTTTAACTCAAGTTTGATTCATGTTAGTGACCCCCCACACCGCCTTCTTGCCCCTCCCCAAGTTTTATCAAAAGCACTCGTCATTCAAGCACAATATTATGAAAGCACATTCAATATTAAGCAGTACAAATATACATGCAACAATCACAGAGAAGCAACATCCAAAAATATAAATAAATAAATAAATACAGTACTCAAAATTACATCATCTTAAAATGATTCCAAATGCCTCACACCAAAATTAATATCAATATCCCTGCTGTGGTCGACAAGAGTACTAGTGGGATGATACTCGTGCAACTGTCCAGCAAGTATGCCTAAACTCCTTCCAATACCTGATAATGTACAACTAATTCACAGTAACTTTTCTTGCCAATATGTATTAAAATATTCAACATCTATGAAAATTTTTCTCTCCCACAGCTGGAAATAATAACAATAACAATAATCATAATAACAATAATAAAAAAGAGGATGATGCCTAATACAAATAGGTACTTATCCCCTTCAGCCATGATGAATTCCTTATTACTAACTATAACTAGCTGTTGCATCTTCTAGCAGGTCTAACTCTCTCTTACAGCTAACAAAAAGAAAAGGCATTTATCAACTGTACATTAAAATTACTCCCTCCACACCTAAAAATTTCCATTCAATTCAGCCATTTCAACTCTCCCAAAGCCCTGCCTCCACCCTGGCAAAATTCCTCATCAAAAACCTTTGCCCGTGAGCTAAAAACGACCAAACCTCGTAGAACTTACTTGTGTGGCTGTCTTTGTGAGCTGTTCCTGTGCAGCGTGAAGTTGTTCCAGTAGTGAGGCTTTCTCTTTCTCTTCTTTCTGCAGCTGATCTTGTAGGACCTTGAGCTGAGCTTGCATCTGTAAAGGAAAATAAACCATCAATATTTTACCCCACAATGAATTCTAATCAGAATTATTTACCATCAGAGTGAACCATTATTGTACCACAGCAGAGTAAATGTTACAGTAGTGATGATGTTACTCTAAGTTAATGTAGTCACTGGTGGACACTTGCTAACGTCACTGTTTTCTTAAATGGCTGAAAACCCAATGTTTTATTAATGAGTCTTGGCACAATTTGCACCAAAAAGTTATCATGTAAACCTTGTCACATACTCATTAAACGAAGTTTGATACAAATCTGTAAATCCGTACTTAGGTTATCTGGGGTACCCAACCAAATATGATACCCTGCAGTAGTGGGCAGAGCAACAAGCAAAGAAAACCATAACATGTCCCTCTCATTAAGTGCAAATCACCATCTCAGAAAAACAAGCTTTTTCAATCAACATGTAATAATCAAGTAGAAAAGTTTTCAGTTCTGATTAACTTGCACATCTGTTGACCCAACTGGTCTCCTCCATTCTCTGAACTTGGCCTGCCTTTGTAAAAAAACCTCGCCAATCCTCTAAATAACCAGCCACTCTTAAATCTGAACATGGTCTCTATCTCTCAACATCACATTACACATGGATCTAAACTTACTCAAAGCGGTGTATACCATCTTCTTTAAATGTCCATATTTCACTGCCAAACAACATTACATTTCTCGTACAACTTTTCTTTCAACTCCTTAAGCTTCTCCCAGCCATTTCTGACTCTTGCAACTGACCATGTCACCCAGGAGCTCCCTCTGTGGGGGCGGCCAACTGTAGTGTCCCACCTCTCCTTCCCTTGATGTGGGCAATCTTCCTCTACCCAATGCCCTGGCACTAACATCATCCTTATATACCCTCATCATGCCATTTCAGTGACCTTCTCTTTACTCATGTCACCCACCCAGCACCTCAGTTTTGTTGATGCAGTGTCAGTCACCCAACCCACTGCACTAGTTATAAGAATTTCTAAAAGCCATGTTTTAAATTAAATTAATAATATCTGACATTTAAGTACAATTGAAATTATTAAGATTATCATCAGATACAAGTAACAGAACACACAACCACAATAGAGGAAAATTATTACTACTTTTAACAGAATCAACCATGAAAATACAATTCCATTTTTTAAGCATTTTTCTAATTATCATGATTCTTCTGTACAAATAAAAATATTCCCATCTCTTATAATTCTTAATAAGAGTTTTGTTATGTACTAGAGTTAACTACAGAAAGGTGTAGATGTGCAGTTTATTTAAGTATAATCTATAGAAGAGTTCCATGTGAGATTAAATAAGTGCAGTTCGGTTTAATTTAAGTGTGCAGCATTCTAGACATTCACCAGAAATTGGATTTAGTAACAACAGTGATTTATATATATACTGTATATACTAATTCAACATAAGGCATCAAAAGTCCTCAAGATATGTTCATCCATAAAAAAAAATCGCTTATTCTCAGTCAGTTTGTCAACCCAGTTCCTTCAATGTTGTCGTTCTATGTACAGCGTTACTAAACTACAACTACTAAACCAAAATGCAATACAAGTTTAAAGGCACGGCTCTTAAAAGACTCAACAAATTTGCTGTTGTTGAACCCATCAATGCCCCCAGAGAGAGCAGAGCCAAGGCTTCACCATGTGTGTGTGTGTGCTTTCATTCCAACTCATAGCAGGCAAAAAGAGATAAAACCAAGAGGAAGACGTATTGATGTGCTGGGGTGCTCTCGAAGCTCCTATCATTAACTGGCGGCCAAGCAATAAAGAATATCTTGACGGATATGTCCCCACCACATATCTTCCGGCTCTTTAGATACAAACATTTATTTAGCTTGATTCGAGTACTAAATGAACACTAGGAATAACACAGCCAAATATGATACAGTGCCGTACCATATAAAGCCAGGTCTTTATTCCTCGGCCACCACCAACAATAAGTTATGAGAGACAGTGTTTATGTACAGTAGGTTGAAACACGGAGAATACTGTATAAAAAAGTTGAGCCCATGGTCGCTGCAGCTGTAGTTACTGTACTAAAGGAAGTGGTAAAAGTACTCACGATTCTTTTGCTATACTGTACTATAATAACTATCCAATCACCATTTAGCCATCCAATGATAATGTTATTTGAGAGCAGAGACTTTGAAGAATGTGAGCTATTCAACTCCATCCAATGATAAATGAAATTGAGGATTGAAGCAAAATGCGAACCATTCAACTGCATCAAATGATAAATTGAGGATTGATGCAAGGATATGAGCCATTCAACTCCCATCCAATGATAAGTTGAGGATTGACACAAGGAGGATCTAAACCATTCAAACTATACTCTTAACACCAAGCTGATCCACCTCCATGGGCCCAACACAGCACAAAGCCATTCCAGCAGTCACTAATCACTCTCGTACTCTCTCTCCCCCACATATACCTGAGTAACTACGAAGGGTAGAGACTTCTCTATGCAAGTTAACGCAAACTCCATCCCACATAACTCAGCTGCAGCCTAGAAAAAGAGTAAGAGAACCATCTCTCAGGCAGCCCCTTGGATAAGAAAAACCATACACTAGCTGAATTAAATCTTTTCCCCAAACAGAAAGACATCACCATGAGATATAATAAACACACATTAATATACATTTCTATGCTACTCCAAAGTCATCATCCATCAGATATACAGTTTAATATACATTTCTATACTACTCCGAAATAAGCAAAGTATATAAATAACTTTAATCATTCATTATTATGTGAACAATACACCTAAACGAAAAAAATACCTAAGGACACACAACAAAATATTATTCAGGTTTCACATAAGAATAACAATCACAGTTAAGTTTCTCTTTAAAATATAAAATATAATAAAACCTACTGTTTGACTATCCTCTATAAGAATTGTAGAAACTTTCATCCATCATTGTTCCACACGTTTTATTCTTTACACCCACAAGTTTGTATATAATTCCATCTTAAGAAATAATGAAGTGAAGACCTCGAGGAAAATCAATTCAAGCTTGTTTTCTCTATTTGGTGCTTCAATATATTATGAATTACTATCTATAACAGGTTTATATTTAAAAATAGGTCTCCATTTCACAGCCAATCATCTCCAATCAAATAAAAGGATTGGATTAACTTGATAAGTCAATATACCTCATGTAAGAGCAACTACAGAGTTATCAAAAAGTCCCTGTGCACTTACAATCATTAAAAATATAGTTAATTACCTTCCTTTTCCTACTTACAAAAAATAAATATTGGATATGGTCGCCTTAAAGTTAGAAGTGGATACCATTGCCAATATTTACTGTACATAGGACAAGGTATATAACAACGTAGGTATAACAAGGTATGTATATATATATAATAATGTAAGTATAACAAGGTATAACTATAGTGTTAATTATTACAGGTACACTTTATTTTTCTATGTTAAACCCCATCAGTGACAACACACTCCCTGTGTACAGTACTTACATCTTCTGCCTGTTTGACCTTCTCTAAGGTATCTTCAAGCTGTTTCACCTGTAGCTGCAGATTGGCTTTGTCTGCGGTCAGCTGGCGAACATCGCTATCCTTTTCAGAGAGACGTTTGTTCCACGCCACCTCCTCGGACTCTACCGATGCTTGTAGTGACTTGAGTAGATTTTCCTGGTGGTGCAAATTTAGATATGATTAAATCTTCAATACATGTAAACATAATAAGTTGACAGTGGGAAAACAGGAGATGTTGATGGGTTGACAAGAGGTGTGCCAGTGTAAATGGAACAAACATAACAAACCCAATGGATGGAATATATATAACCTTACTGAGGCTCCTAGCCTTGTATCTTCCACAAATAAACATCATATGTAAAAAAAAATTCATTTCTCTTTTCCCCAGAACCTGTTCAGTCATTTTTCCATCAGAATCTAGTAAATAATTCCCAGACTTTTTCAAACACATAGTGCCTAGTGTAGTTTTTTACAGTGGCGACCAAAGGCATCATAATACTAAAAAATTTGCAAAAAAACCTAAAAATGTTTCCAGCCAGTAAACCCTACCTGGCTGGCTGGAGATCATACCCTAAATATATCACTCAAATAGATCTCAAGTGATTCAACAATTCATCAAGTCACTACTCACTGTATCTGCTAAGACCCTCTGGTAATGGGCGACCTTATCAGTAACAGCTCGGACTTCTTCCTCCAGTTCACCAACTCTCTTGCTGTCGTCTGCTGCTGGCGCCGGTGTTTTCTGTAGATCTTCAACCTAGAATACAAACATATCCTCAAAATACACCCACATGTTATTTATTCATCTGACTAGACAACATTCATACTTTAAGTCTATATATTATTGTTTCTCATGGGAACAATTGTATGTAAGTGACAGAAAAATCACCCTGGATAAAAAAAAAGGGGGGGGGGGAATATTTACCTGCGTTCTAAGTTCAGCATTCTGTTTAGAGAGCTCCTCAACCTGAGATTTAAGGGCCGGGTCCTCCACCATCACTTCCACCTCCTTCTCGGCAGACATCATCGAGGAAGAGAGATGCACGTTATTCATAATTTCAATTCAATAAACACATTCATAATCATAAGGGGAAGAGAGGGTTTTTCTTCGTATATATCACCTTAACAAGCTAAGTACAATGAGAATTCTATTTAATGGACTCTAATATGGAAGAGGAGTGTAGTCCATTATATCAAAGTCATTGTGTGTGTGTGTGTGTTTTACAGACCAGTAACCAATAAACAACAGACTCACCTTCACAACTTCCACAACCTTCTCCACAACCTCAGGTTCAGATGACTGAGCAGTCTGAGTAGCGACCTGCAGCGCCTTGCTCTCAAACTCACTCAGGAACGCCCCTTGATCCTGCAACACAAATAAAACACCAAACTTTACCACAAGGTACTGTACGTGAGCTCTGGCAGCTCCTTTAATACACACTACATCACACCATACTATCATATACTGCACCTAGGTAATACTAACCATTTCTATACATCTTTAAAACTTTATAAACACCATAGACCAAATAAAGTACTTTAAAAACAAATTGTAACCTGATTTAAACATTAACATCTACTGTCTATTGTAATCAAATGAGAAAAGTAAATTCTAAGGTACAATTTAGTACAACTTAAATAGTACAGTACAGTACATGTACATGGTTACTCATGAAAAATTTTATTTGTAAATAGGAAAAGTTTTTTTTCTATTCTTCCCTCGGTGATGGACTAGGGGACGAGGCACACACGGCAGAGCACCTCAGTAGGGCATTAAAACTGACATGTGATGTACCGTATATATATATAAACCAGACTTGAAGGTCTAGAAAAAGAAATAAAGAACAGATGACTAAGACATTCTAGACCAAAAGAATCCTTCCTGAAGAAAAAAAGGTAAAAACAGAAACTGACCCACCTATAACAAATATCGACCTAAAGCTGTAAGTTACAATGAGTGACTTGACAATTCATGAAGAGAACACAGAACAAGTATACAGAGATCCATCAGTACCGGGCAGGACGATAAACTGAAGCAATACCAGACCCCCCCCCCCCACACCCGGGACTAGTTTGTGACCACTTTAACCCAGTTTAACATCAGAGAAATCAAGAGGATGGACAATTCAGCCAACTCCTCTCCTCTCCTCTCCATAAAACATATCTAACAGCCATTTGCATAATTCTCTCCCTAACCTCACCCAACCATCAGGAGAGACTGCCAATTTTTCTCTAAGCCTAACAGTAACCTCACTACAGTACATCAAATAATCAAAGACCAAATGATGAATGTTTTTCCTTAGCAAAACCTTTAGAAATATCAAGTGAAACCGCATGAGATTTGTCAGGAGCACTTGCCTGTCTTGTACAAAGTTAAAGAAAAGCTGTAGCAGGTGTAACCACACACGGTGAACAAACTGAACTTTCTTCATCAAAATAAATAACTTTTCCTATATACTGATCACACTATCATGAATAACCCTGCACAGCATGGTACAGTACTATGAACATTTCAAAAAATAACTTAATGTGCACAATATTGTACTTAAAACTTATGTAATATTGTACTTCAACCAACACGTCATGGCATGATACTGTACCTAAATCTAATTCATGACCACTACTGTACTGGTAACCTCTAAAAACAAATTATTAAGCAACTAGTATATAATATTTACTACATCAAGATAATATACGAGGCCACTATATTAAACTGTTGCTCTTCATGAAATACAAATTCCTCCTATATTAATTCCTATAGCCATAAGGACTTCAGTAGCAAACTTCAACACTGATTTTGTTATTTTTGCATCTATTAAAAACATATAAAAACACATGCTTTACATCAATTCAGTCATATACACAAAAATATTTATCAGATTTGGCTAAATATCTCAATTTTTCTTTATTTATATCACCTAATAGCAGTAATCAAGTAAGAAAACACTGATTGATAAATACTGCTGGTCAGGAGTACACTAAGGCCCCACGGATTAGTAATTTCGTCAACAAAAACAATTTGGTTAAATGACTCCTCTTGATTGATTCATTTTTCCCTACAGTACAATTTTCACTAAACCTCTGTCATGTCAACGAACCGGACTTCTACTTTCCAATCCCAGAGTAACTAAGTCGTCCATAAAAACTTGTACGTCTTTAGTTTAATCAATGTCAAAAATTTGGCTACCAAATACTTTTTTTACATTGACTTTTAACAACCCAGTATGTACCAGTAATGTATTTCTTCCACAGAGAAGAGAAAATCTCTGCAACTTCTTCAATATTCCTTAAATACCTCCAGTAAAAATATTTGAACTCTTGATGAATACATAAATAAATAAATAAATCCCTCACTGTTATGGCTGATCAGACTATAAACATTATTTGGCATCTCATCTGGTCTCAAATTCCTCTCAAATTTGACCTTGAAATCCTCGGAGCTAGACTTAACCTACCTTCACAAGCATATGACTGGGGGTGACTGGTTGACTTGCAAGCAGGGTGTAACAGGGATAAGCCAGTAATTAATACAGTCAATTAAAGATTATTATTGTGTACGGGATGAGTAAAGGCCAAACTTGCCAAGTTAAAGAAAAAGAGGGCCTACTGTTTTATAAGGTAAATTTTTTCATACAAATTTTAACTTCCTAAAAGGCAAATGTTATCGGCTAAAAACGATTATGTCACCTACAATTGGTTACCCTGGGTGTTAAACGATTCACTATTTCCATACAATGTCAAGGACGAATTACAGTCTGAAAATTTTGACTTTCACCATTTTACAATTTGAGTTCCAAACCTAAAATTTTAAACAGTTTAGGATACAAATACTGCACTGTCCAGGGTAATAGTTATTAGTGTGTGTGTGTGTGTTGTGTGTGTGTGTGTGTTGTGTGTGTGTTATGTGTGTGTGTTATGTTTTTGTTATGTGTGTGTGTTATGTTTTTGTTATGTGTGTGTGTTATGTTTTTGTTATGTGTGTGTGTGTGTGTGTGGGTGTGTGTGTGTGTGTGTGTGTGTGTGTGTGTGTGTGTGTGTGTGTGTGTGTGTGTGTGTGTGTGTGTGTGTGTGTGTGTGCGTGTGTGTGTGTGTGTGCGTGTGTGTTGTGTGTGTGTGTGTGTGTGTGTGTGTGTGTGTGTGCGTGTGTGTTGTGTGTGTGTGTGTGTGTGTGTGCGTGTGTTGTGTGTGTGTGTGTGTGTGTGCATGTGTGTGTGTGCATGAGCATGTGTGTTTGTGTGTGCATGTGTGTGTGCGTGCATTTGTATGTGCATGTGTGTGTGTGCATTGTGTGTGTGTGCATGTGTGCATGTAAAAAAAATAATAGGTACCCAAATACACTTGTTCCATCAAGTAGTGTATAAAAAATAAAAATAAATCCAGTTTCATTCCTCTTACCTAACTCAGGGTAAATATTTCACTCCCTTTGTTACCTCAAGTTCAACAACACCCAAAGAAAAAATACAATAACCCATACTTGATATAATAATAAATTGAACAAATAATCCTACTTTAACATCAGCTGCATCTTTGCCATATTGTTTTTTGCACACGACTGGTTCTGGTTCAGTTGTGACACTTGGGAGGGAGACAGACTCATCTGCCTTGTCAACACAACCGACAGGGATGTTTTCCTCTACACAAACAGGTGTGTCCACGGCCTCTGCCTTTTTTCCCTGTGCAGATGTGGGAGTATTTTCAGGCACTGCTGCATTATTGGGTTTAGCCCCAGAGGCCTTCTTCCCTCGGTTCTTCTTCTTGGCCATCTTAACGTAGGAAGTAAACAATACAACTTCCCTGTGAAGTATTTGTTAACTGGTCTGTTATGTTCTCAGAGCTTAAAGCACTCTCTCATAGTGATTAATGGGGAATTATTGGCATGTGTCCTAATGTTACACCAGACGTCCCAGAGTCCTTTCCTGCACTTCACGCCCGGGCCAGCTCCACTGAGGCCGACGCAGTGCCTCCTCTGCCTCTGCCTCTGGGATCAATACTTTAATCAATACACACACTCAGGGTGGCACTGCACCACGGCTCCTCGCCAGCCTTACCAACCCCACACCCAGAGCTCATTATTGCTCGCTCACTCACTCAAACACTCTCCCTATTTTGTACATTTATCATAGTATCACTGGATATTTCCACTGTATTTAACATATGAATTAACTAACCAGAGAAATAAAGCACGCCTACAAATTGAAAATTTGATTCTGGGTTATCTGACGTGGAGCTAACAACTGCAGTATGACACGCACAAAGCCTAGCCATTGGTGTGAGGCACATTGCAACAGTTAGAGCTCTGCTGCTGTAGGTATCAGGTGGAGGACCCAAAGCCTTTCAATCACTGCCCCTACCCCCCACCTCCCTCCCCAAGGTAACCTGAGGTCGTTAAAGATGCTCTACAAATGCTGCCATCATAAAATGTGCACACATACATACACTCATTCACATCCTCACTCATCCACCCTTTCACTCACTCCCTCATCCATTAAATCATCCACCCATCTATTCACTCGCCCACTCATTAACTCCAAAAACTTAGTAATGTTTCCTAGTAAAACAAACAAGACTATCTCTTTACCAACACATCCTGACACAGAAAAGCCGAGAAAGTCAACAAACTCGACCATCCCATCTCCTGATGTCTCTACAACCTTGGTCAACATCCAATTGTAATCTAGGCTTACATACCTTTGAGTAAGATTTAATAAAATTACCTGAATCGAAGTTATTCATAACCTAACAACTGAATCCAAAACACTGGTGATATTAGACAATGTATAAAAAAAAATTCAATGCTATATTAAAACTTGGTTAAGCTACAGTACACATTTAATATAGGAATAAACTGAACCTACAAACTGGCAACAAAAGGACTTCATCATGGAGGGAGAACTGGATCAATACCATAACACTGTCCCTCTCAATCAATAAAGATAATCAATAACAAAAACTGCTAACTCTCCTGTCAGCAGTAGCAGTTAAGATTTCTGGGGGGGCACAGAAATTTGTTGAACCTGGACAGCAGCCCCCCAACCTACAGATATAAAAAGATGCTTATTTGGTTTACTAATTTATATTTTTTCTCCTATTATGTCAGTACCATATCACCATTCGGTCTCTCCCTCTTATCAAACCAAGCCACACCACACCCAGCCTCCTCCTCACCCCCCCTCCTCTCACCACACTATCATCCAGCCCTCTCACCACACCACCCTCCCTCCCCCTCTTACCACACCACCCTTCCTCACCCACCACCCTTCCTCCCCCTCTTACCACACCACCCTTCCTCCCCCTTCTTACCACACCACTCTCCCTCCTCTCACCACAATAACCCTACACGTCACGCTCCACATCATTCCCTATCATACCACCCCTAACCCTGAGCTAGTTCCCTTTAGTTGCACTCCATCACCGTGAACTTCCCTCATTCCCCGCACTCCTCAAATACCAGACTCACTCCCCTTCCACCCCGTATCTTTCAGCAACTTTATAAAGACACTTAGCACATACAGTAAGTACCTCTAATGACACAACTATAAAAACATAAGCTTGAATTAAGGTAACTGTCAGCCTCCCTACCCCTTTAACAGGCTACTCATGTGTACCTCCCACTGTCCATTTAAATAATAATAATCTCCTTAATGAATATCACTATCATAAATTGACACAAAAAAAAGGTTTAAATAAGATTAAATTAATCCATATCCACTGTAATTAATTAGAATAATGACATTAGTAATTAATCCATATCCACTGTAATTAATTGGAATAACACTAGTAATTAATCCATACCCACTGTAATTAAGAGACTATAATAAAAGAATAATAGTAGTAATTAATCCATATGCACAGTAATTTCCTATAAAACACATGACTCCCATTACAAGCTGTGGAATTCTACATAAAAATAAAACTCTCTCCATCAGAGATCTTCCTTTATATACAGTATCAAGAAAAATAAAACAATAAAAATAATAAAATAAAAAAGCCATTAAACTTACGAGACATTATAGATAATCCACGTTCACCACACCTTTGTTAGGCTCTGTTAGCCGTACATTGATTACATGGGTTAAGGATCAAGATAAGCCACTCAAAATGGTCCATGCTAAAACTTACTCACTACTGTACTGTACAATGACAATATACTTACCTGTTGCTGGTCATAACAAGTCTATATATATATAGATATATATCTTGGTTAAGAGTATTATATGAAGCTTTGGTTTGGTTTCCCAGTGAAAAACAAGGTTCCGGTTGACGTTTTTTTTTTTTCATGCTGAAGTCAACCCACTATTTTTTTTATTTATTAACTTTATCGATATTAATTTACTTGTCATAAATATCTGACATGGAATTGAGTATTAATACATACAATTGTTCCGATAGTGAAGGAGCATCATTATTACCCCCCCCCCAAAAGAGTAACAATCTACATGGCTGCCCACAGGAGGACAAGCATTGCAGCATAATTTCATCTCAAAGCTTGCAAACTGTTCACGAAAATCACTATGTACAGGCCTGAAAAATTAGGACAACAAAAACATAACCAAAAGTGCAGAAGGGCCGGAGCACCAATCAGAGAGCAAGAAGGGCCACGGCAGCAAAGAAGTTTAAAACCTGTACACGTTGCATGACACAGCCCACCGCGTCCATGCGTCTAATGGTATTTTAAGTTATATCTCGAGAGAATCACCACAAGATGCCTGTTTGTTGCTCGAGTCGAATCAAAAACTCACTCATGAGAAAAATTCCCGTTTAGACCTGTGCAGTTACCCTAATATTGTTATTCTTGTTCACCTTCATATTTACCATCATAGCCTAGCAGTAAGGGGAGGGGAGGGGACCAGTAATTTTTTCCCAGGACACTTTCCCTACAATCTTAGTCTAATCACACTTCTAATGCCAATCACGACAGGCCAAACATCACCTAAAAACCAAGTCAAATTGCAATAGTAAATTATCATCTCTATTTCTTTACCCACATCCTTGTAGCCTTGTGCTTTTTCCTTCTACTGTCTCCTTTCATATATTTAGTAAGACGAGCTTCTTCTTTCTTTATACAGTACAGACTACATAATTTTGTTGTGCAATAGAATGGTACTGTACCCACCCACTACTGTATGTGCCACTGTATTTCCTTTCTGAAGTTCCCAGCAGGGTAGAACAGGTGTGGGAAATATTAGGCAAAATATTATCCCCAATCCTGAATTCCTCTTACAGAACTCAAACCTACCAACTAATAAATGTTTTCACTAGGGGCCAGCCACATTGAACCAGCACGTGGATAGCTTCAAGCGGTTCTTAAAATGATCTTCTCTCGAGGTATTGATAAAAGGGAATCACTTAGGGTGGCAATTAATCTTGTATCTAAATCAACGCCATCTACTCTTTTTCCCAACTATGGTATGTCTCTGCACCGCTCTTCACAAATCCTGCACCACCAGAATAATAACTACATCAAAAGACACTGTTTCCATAATAGTTATTAGGTCTCACTGCAGGAAACATTACCTTATCATAAATGAGCTGACCAGCTGACATGAGATCCCTTCAGAAGGATATTTCACGATAATCAAGTCATGCAAACGTCTAGTATTAACAAAAACATTCATTATATATTGTGTGCACTCCATAAGAAAATCCTGAAAGAACTCCAAAGTTATTTAAGTGCATCAAGAGGTAGAAGTGCACCTAACATTGTAATTGAATGAAAATTAACAATAGGCAAATAAGAATTTTTATAAGTGCAAGTATCTTAGTTCATCCCCATTACAAGCCAACAATACTGGACTATTTACCCCGGAACCTTGTTCTTCAGTTTAGCAAGTGATAAATGTGAGCAATTTAGGACAGCATGACTGGCAAATGATTTACCTGGTATGTCTTTTTCCTAACAGGAAGGGCCTGAAATGGGAACAACTGCTGTAGGAAGGTGCTGCTAATCTTCCACATTCATGGCAAGAAAATATTTGTCAAACTATGTTACTGATCAGTGAACTGTATCAACAAACTGTACTTGGGAACATGCAGCACTCAAGGTCTGCTGCTGACTTGGGCATCACTGGGTAGGTATTACAAATTATTGGGAAATACAACAAAGTTTACTTTTAGTCAACTTGCCCTTGTCCACAACATTTTCTGGAATTGGAACCTATTGAATGCATCACCCCTGTATGCTGTTTACCCTCAAAATAATAATAAATTAAATATATATGCATATTATATACAAAGTTGTTACATCATACACCAAATTATATCATGTTGTCAAAACCCTTTCCAGTGATCATTAAAACAGATGAACAATAATTCAATAATATAAGTTTATAACCCAGAGTAAGTATCAGACTATGACACTGTTCAAGCTACTCAATGCTCAAGTAAAATTCAATTCACACAAAAAATTTGTCAGAGAGGCAAATAATCGAGATCAAACCATTCACGTACAAGCAGTGCTCCCTCGTTCAAGCATCGATCTAGTGCATGAAGTCTCATCTCTTGCCTTACCCATGAAGTCAGGTGCAACGAAAAAAGTACAAAATTCACATCATACGTACACTCTCACACACACGCACACCAATAAATGCATAAGTACTCACCAGTGCGTCGTCTACAACAACCTCAGGGAAAATTCTTCTAAGGACGGCACGAACCTTTGCTTTTTCCTCCTCGACCTCGCCAGAAGCCTCCTTCAGGGAAGAACGAAACATTAGTGACCAGTGACAACCGGTACTACATCAACCATATACTCCAACATTTACTTCCTTATAACATACCACACCTGCTCATACAGTACACAGTCAAGTATAACTGCAGCCAAAACAGTTCCTTTCCACAACTCTTATTCATATAATTAGTTAAACAAAAAAGTTTACATATGAATGAACTTTCCTTAGTTTAGCTTTAACCTTGCATGGTCAATGTTTAAGAAAGGAATAACAACTCCTTTCCTCATCAATAAAGCACCAGAGTTGAAGACATGTTGCTTCCTGAATCATGACAAGTGATATGTGATCTTTCTTGATAATATTTATACCACCAATTACTGTAGAATTCATTTCCTGCAATCATACCTAAGTGAGAAACAGTAGAATGGAGAGATCCCCCCCTACACACCCCCAAAAGTGTCACTGATCACCAAAACAGTATTAATGGTATCAATGACCCAAAATTGTTAATACTAAGTAGATACAAGACACCAGTACATTTTTGGTCTGGTTACCAAACTCCATAAGCAATCACCATTACTTACAACTGAATACCATGAACAGAAGGTGGTGATTTGTCTCATTATCCACCGATATACAGTAGTGTAAGTGGGGAGGGGAGGAACTAAACGAGGGCCCTGTTTGAATACTCCTTTAACCCCTGGCAGCTGAATGAAATTGTTTAGCAGTAGTTGAATAAAATATCTAAAGTGTAGGTCCCATAGTGAAGGGGTTAATCTAGGGCTAGTTACGAGGACTTAAAGAAAAGTGGACATCAACAAGTGAGTTCTCCTAAATGTCAGGTAGTGAGGTCACCTACATGTCAACAGAGCAAGAGAAATGTTTTGTTGTCATAATGAGAAATGTTCTGATGCCATATAGAGCACGAATATGTCCTGTGCCTGGTGTCAGGGAGGTAATTAAATTTATGTAACAGATGAAAGAAGAAAGGATGAAGGAAAACAAGAAAGAAAATGAAAGAACAGAAAGCATTTCTGTATGACTACAACTACTCCACAGGAAATTTTTAACTCTTCAATAATTTTGGAATTCGGAAAGCAAAACCCCACTAATATTTTTATCCAGGCCCAGCAATATCAATTAAAAAATAAGATTTGTGTAGTCTACTTCCCTTGCAAATTACTAGTCACAAATTGCAATCAAGTCGAGCATACAGTCCTGGCATCAACATACCCAATCAAGACTTGCAACAGGTGCAAGAACTACAGTGAAACCTCTATTTAACGGACACGATAATCCTCATGCAATACGGAGAGGAGGAAAGTCCATTATACCGAGGGTCCTTTAGATTATATGGAGAAAGAGAAGTCCGTTATATCGAGGTTTCATTGTACTGAATAATCTTTTACACATTTGTGGGACCAAAGAACATACGAGTAGTTTACTTTTATTCTAATGATTATATAATTAAAAAAAAGTAATGGAAAAATACTTTGAATAATATTATGATTACCTGTACTAAAGAGACTTCCAGGAGCCAACCATTGTATACCAGAGGTGGCTACAGTTGAAGCCTACTAGTGTATTGATATTAACACCTAGTGTACTGTGTCCCCCTAAACAATTATCATCATTATTATTATTATGTTAAGTGTACTGAAGCCTCAATCCCTATGTAGAGTTTTCTGAATTATCGAGGTTGATATCTCGAATCTACCGCGTTGAGTTATATACCAATTAGGGGTTATTCTCTCGCCTCGAGCCCTACACACATGAACGTACTATCTTACTGTATACCACATGATGTGTTATAATGTGCGGTTCTCAAATATTCAACTGTACTGTACTAGCCTTGGGTGACGTGACGATGGTGCCACAGTAGTTATTATGTTAAATCCTTTCCCAGTTTGTGTGACGTGGATTAAGGGTTATTGTACAATTACCTCAAAGGAGATATGGTAGAGAGGAGAAGAGGAGTGCAAGACAAGTGTACAAAAATGAGAGAAAAAAGATCAAAGCAATAAAGAAATATTCTACACCAACTTGTTGAAGAACATCATCTTGCAAAACTATTCCTCGGCTAAATTTCAAGGTTTTCTGCCAACTGGGATTCAATCAGCCTTAGTAAGTAGTGTACAGTACTGTATTAATCAAAGCCGCATTAACTTCACCTAAACAAGCTTCTATTATGCATTTCAAAAAGATACAGCTTAAAAAGGTCCTATTCAAGGCATTTGTACTTTAAATATATATACTCTGTACAGTAAATAAAACTGATATTCAAATACTGAAAATCTTAAAGCAATCATGCTCACTTGCTACATTCTACTTTTGCCAAGCAGTATCTTAATGTCAGAAAGTAATAACATTTGTATACTGTATAGCATTCTGTAAGTCCCACTAACATGTAAAGCACTATCAACTGTTATGTACCAGACTAGAACTGAGAATCCAGTCAGCTAAAAGGAGATGAACAACCTTCAGGTTTTGTCCCACTCGGATATCATATGATATAAAAAGCCAGTGCATATTTTCTTTCTTTTCCACATATACAGGACTGTACATATATATCTTTCCTATGCAACAAAGTATAACACAAATGTTAAAAATAAGAAGAAAAGTCATTCATTTCTACAACCCCATCAACTTTGTTGAAGGGAATAATAAGTCTATTTACTAATTGATTCCCAACACAAGAATTTATTACTATCAACCTCACTCCCTCCCTCTCATGTTAACAGAGATCCCCTTGTGCCTCCAGTACACCCGAGAAACTTCCCCCCAATCTTAATACTTTAAGATACTTCAATAGCTGCAGCCATTCCCACACCTGCCAAATTACCACCGCAACTATTTCTGGCTTACTTGTCATACCACCTGCTAAACTGATATAATAGCCTGAAAAATGAATAGGCTGAATGTAAATAAACTAACATCCTGGTAATTTGGGCTACATTTACAAGTACGTATGATGAAACGCCAACAACTCGGCACTGTACCAATTGAGGCTACTTGCATTGAACAGCCCCATTATTCAAAGAGGTTCTTTGATCTAATACTGTAGAGATGATGACTGGCAATGGTTAAGTCCCCTACCACACTGCAGAACAAAACCTGTAGGTTGTCTTCTCATTAATAAGGAACCTACAGTCAAAACACCTTGCAAAGCTTGCTTACTAACAGTAGAGCAGCACTTACATCCACCTGCTTGAGTCTAGCCATCAGTTTTTCCTCTGTGCTCGTTAAGGCCTCCAGGACTTTGTGGTTCTTTTCTCGTAACTCCTACAAGGCAGGGAATTAACAACACACATTGTTAGACTTAAGGGAATCTAGTATTGAAGTTCAGTAACAAGCTGGTTAATAAATATTGGGGTATATGCATTCCATTAAGTTATCCTCTTATGATAACTTCAAATATATATCAAATTTGCAAAAAAACAAAAAAAAACAAAAAAAAAAGATTTCAAATCTAGTGAAAATCTCTTGTAAACAATCACAAGATCAATGTTATACAGAGTGGCCACAACTAAGCTAAAATCTCAGGTGTAAAAAGCAATTCCAGGCTGCATCAGGTTTGAATCATAGGGTGTCCTAGCAAGCCCACACAGTAATAAGACACGACATGCGTACCAGCCTTCTGTCTGCTGATGGAGGACGAGTCTCATGGGGCACAGGCAAGAGGAGCAACACTAAGAGGCAGAGGGGGAAGTCTACACACAATCACATCGTGACCAAAGTTTATTGAACGCACTCTCGGGCGTTAAGTGAGCCGAGTAGAATTCAATCACGGATATTGTTATGATCTCTCCCTCCTTTAGACAACAGGGGCATAGACTCAAGCTTATCTCCTACAGAAAGTATCCAACAAGGAATGAGGACAACAGTGTGCATATGCTTATTACAGATCAATATCGTTTTCTCAAGTGTTCATTAACTGGCGGTGCAACATGCTACGGTGTTCGTTCTGCCGACTGTAGGCAGGTTTAACCAACTGGATGAGAGGTGAAAATACCAAACATAATCAGCAGTCACTAAGAAGCAGTAGGGTCACTAACCAAGTGATAGCTACAGTATCTTAACACTACAACAGATTACATTATCATACTACACTAAATTCTATTACCTGGTTTATACCTAGTCAAATCTGGGCCCAAACCTCCTGGGTGACCACCACATCAACCAGCCCTTACTGCCACTATGGACTGGATGATCACCAGCATTTTAAAGAAACTTGTCTTCTCTCCTCTACATCTTCCTTCATTCACTGATGATAATTTAAGAATTCATAATCCTTTTTGTTAAAATTTCTTGTTTGTACTTTACGCATATTCTATTTATCTTCGGCTTGTCTGGGATATCTGGGGACCAACTTTTTAGGTATTTATGTATCCATTAGGATAAATTTCTTGCTTCTACACTCCAAGCCACACTACTGAAGATCTCCCAAGTAGCTGGTGTTTGACTGAAGAGATGGGGGGGAAAACCATTCTTTGTACATGTGTTGTAGTTTGAAGAAATCTACCCCTTTTTTTTACCACACAAATATTCCAGTTTGAAGTGGACACAAGTAGTGAACATTATCAGCATTATCTAATCTATCACTTTCTAGACTTCAATAGTGCCCTAGGCATACTCTCTGAAGGTTAGATCATCTGAATACATTATTATTACCTTGTGGTCCTTTCACATTCCAATCCATCCTATGATAATGTAGGACTATGTTGTATTCTATTGCCATTATATTGTTTTTCATTCTTTCTGGAGCAAAATGATAGGTGGTGACTATCATACTGTTTGCTTATTGGAAGACTTAGTTGATGTCCAATTATAGATGGTTTCTGCAGCTGATAAAATTGTAATACTGTTCCTATTATTTCCCATAAAGGATGACATGATGTAGAAGTTGATCTAAAAAATATATGAATACCCAACGGGAATGAAGGACGGCAGGGTATTGAACACAGTACCAAGGTATAAAGCTTCTCACTGTCAACACAAAAACATGTCTGATGGTCTATTTGTCAAGGTTTAAATAGAAAGTTGAATATCTACATTCCTATGAGACCTGCTTCTTCCTGGGCCTCCATTTTGTGCGTTAACTTTCCACAGTGCACTTTTGCTAACACCTTCCTGAAGCCCATACACTGTGCCTGTAAGTTGCAGGAATTCTCTCTATCAGCAGATTTGTACATTATCTTATTCCACTGACCCAATTGTCGAAATCTTTCTCCCCAAAAATATGGTTTTTAGGTTTTGTTCATTATTTCAAAATTATTAAAAACTGTGCTTCAAAATGGCCTTTTCAAGATAACTGATTTTATGGTGAGAGACAAGGTTGTCATCTTATTCTCCGATTGGGTTTCTTCACTATTTGTGGTACAAGAATATGGTAAGGCAACCTTTCTATTGCAACATCCACCTGAGAGTTTCCTTATGCTAATGAGGCACTGCAAGCTTCTTATTGCAGTAATGTCAGAGTGGTCTTCCTTTCTTACTCAACATGGCATTGCCAACTTCTTGTTCTAATTAATGTCTGGATGAACTTCCTATTATATCATGACCTCTTAAGCTTCTTAGAATCAATGAACGGACAATAATACACACACAGATACTTCAATACGTTACATCCACTATACAGTACACCCTACATACGGAAGAAGTCTATACACTAGTCGTGTACATCATAACATATATACAGGAATCTCTAACCTCAATTAACTTACCGGTGTTGGTAATCATAAGTGAGGGGGAGGGAGGGAGTCAGGGAGGGTTAATCCAGGCTTTATAATCAGTGTGTACACAACAACACATTCATAAGATTAAGGAAAAAATGGAGAAAAATAATAATAGATGAATTAAAATCAAGTCATCTAATAATTAGAGCCATGCAAAGTTCCATAATAAGAGGGAGTGTGACAAGTACAGTACAGTGGTATGACAAGCGCTGCTGCTGCCGGAACAACTGAAACACCTTGAGTCTCCGTCATACTCACGTTGTTCTTTGCTCTTTGACTTTCCAAATCTTCTTTTAATCTGGTGATTTCTTTATTCAAATGAGCTATTTCGGAGGATTTTTCTTCTATTAGGCTCTCTTTCTCCTTCATTCTGTAAGATAAATATAAACAAGAGTATTAGTGGTTACGAATTATACCAATCAAAAAATATGACAAAGATAATCATGTAACGTTAACTCAGCACTTCCCCATACAAGAACAGTTAAATTCAAAATACAGTATTAATAATGTATGCCAAAGATATTAATGGATTTATGGGACCTGTAATTCTCTGCTTCCCAATGTATGACTTCTCTAATACTAAATGCTCTTTAATATGCTTTTTTGGTACAATGAAACTTCCTCTAATTAATGGACTAAACGGAGAGGAAAGTTCATATGTCGAGGGTCCGTCAGATGTGAAACCTCCATCAAAGGAACTAAATATAGAGACGAGTCTGGTATATCGAGGGTCTGTCAGATGTGCACATCTATCTAACGGAGTGTGTGGAGAGAGAAGTCCATTTATATATGGAGGTTTCACTGTCTTAAGTTTAAAAAAATATATAAATAAAGATAAAATGAAGCCTTACAAAGACTCTAGATGGGCGGTGTCATGTGCTGGGGTCTGTTCTGCATGTATATCCCCATTCTCTTGGCCTTCAGCGGCAGGACGGACGCTCTGAGACGCTAACGACTCCTTCTCCTCCTTTAAGCGCTCAATCTGGTGGTGGGATGAGATAAAACACTTAAAAATCAAAGCAAAAGTAATGGCATTTAAGTAAAACTGTAATGTCCTTTCAATGCCGATTATCATCCCCCAATATTCCATCTTCCAGAACATGGACCACACAAGCCATCCTAGTTTAAGTACAGTAAATGGATACAAGATTTTTCTCATTAATTTGTCTGTTGTGTGGTGAATGCCAACCACTGTGAAATACAGTATAAAGGAAATTAAAATTTTGGCTTATATTTAATGACCTCTAAAAAAAATCCTTAAAAAATAAAGAAAAAAAAATTCAAAATGAAAGTCTTTACAAAAACCCACCTGAGTATTTTGGTCTAACACCACTTGGCGTACACTACAAAGCTCAGACTCCACCTGGATCAGTCGGGAATCTACCTCAGCTTTCTCGTTTATTGTCTCCTGCAAGAAACAAACAGCATGAAAAACCCTAGTGTGAAACCTAATCGACAACGTTAATTTAACCCCTACACTATGTAGATGACCCAATTATTTTATGTCTTAACTATACAATGATCATATAAATTTACATCAGTGAACCAAGCATGAATGAAAGAAATCATCAAATAGATTTGTATGACACATTATGGTAAATAATGGCAAGAACTAAAAAAATTCCATTTCAATAGTCATACCCACACACCCATATTTCAATACTGTAATTAAAATACAACAAGTTTCATAAATATTTTACCTCGAATTTGTGCTGTATTTGTGCAAATTTAGTATTTTCACTTGCTAGCTGCTCGCTAAGAGCATCCCGCTCTGCATCTATGGCTGCCAAATCTGACAGAGCTTGAGCACGTGCTGCATCAGCATTTTGAAGCTGTGCCTGCATCTCTGACAGCTGGGCATTGCGAGCTGCATCTTCCCCAGCTCGTTTTTCTTCAAGAGCTCTGATGTGCTCTTCATATTGTTGACATCTTTGAGTCAGTTCTTGGTGCTCTTGTCGAAGCACCTTGGCCTGCATTTCTGCTTCACTGAGTGAACCACGTAATGTGACAACTTCGCTTTCATTGGTGGTACTCTGTAACTGTTCCACCAGTTGTTGTTGCTGCTGGATTTTAGTCTGGTACTCCTGCTCTAAGGACGTGCGCAACTCGTTCAGACGTGTCGCCTGTGCTGCTTGAGCGCTAGCGGCCGATGCCTCCTGTTGACGGGTATGGTTGGCGATGGACTCGTCCAGCTGGGCCTTGAGTTTTGAAGATCGTGACCGTTCACCGTGGAGATCAGCACACAGGTCGGTGATCTTGGCAGTGAGTGCAGAGTGAGCCTCATCTTTCTCACGTAAGCGATTTCCTACTTCTTCCAATTGGCGTTTCAACTGAGTGATGGGGTCCACTCGGCCTTTCTTGACCCAGTCACCTCCGGCATTGTTCTGCTGCTGTTTGTTAAGCAGAGCATCAATCAAAGTTTGGATCTCGTTGCCAGACAATGGTGCACGCTGAACCATAGGGAGAAGCTTGGACTCGCTCAATGCTGCAAAAAGATAAAAATCCAGTTAATCACCACAATGACAGTACAGTACGGCAGTATATGGAGAAAAGTATCTTTTTTAATATTTCAAGAATTTTTACCTCTTGTCAACTATATAATATAAAGGGTGTAATCTGGTGGTGTGGAAATACTGAGTGAGTAGGAATGATACATTATCTAACAAGCCACCAACTCCACTCTCAATGAAAGCACAGTAAACCAGACCAACCCTGTCATTTCAACACTCCACAGAATGGGTCCAAAAGAGAGCTATAATGGAGTCTCAAAAGACTCCTTACAGTATAATCATCTTGGATCACTGTGAGGAAGAGCAGGTTTTTCCTAGAGTATTCATATACCCAAATAAGAGCGAGAGAAAGAAAAGTTAAATGCAGATGCAAAATATTGGAACAGGAAGCTTATAAGTGATACAAGAAAATAAGTTCTTTTATGACTAACTTGTGATATCATTTTTCTGCTTTTCCTTCTTCTTCTTCTTATCCTGGGCAGGAGCTGGAGCCTTCTCAATGGGGATAATTGGTGGATCAGCGGCATCCACCTCTTCCACTTTTGCGGCAACAACTGAGGCCTCAACAACCTGGAAAATATACAGTACAGCAAATATTAAAAAAATAATTTAACAACTTGCTCTAGAAATTATCCAAAAAGATTACATTACTACTGTATATAAAGATGTATCAAATGTATGAAACTTCAATAAACAACAATTCATCTCCTTAACTTGCATTGAATACTTAGAGAATATATAATTACAGTATTGCTACAATTCACCTTTTTCCGCTTAACTGCCACTGACGCATTAAGGATTATTTTTTCATCAAAGACCTCGCTCAATGAATACAGCACACAAAAACACCAATGACACTCACTACTTCCTTGGTGGCTTCCTTGGCTGCAGGGGGTGAGGGCGTAGCAGGTTCGGGAGCAGCCTCTACCTTAGCTGCCTCGGTTTTAACCAGGAGGGCCTCATGAACCTCCTCCACCACCATCTTCCGGGGCACCTCTTCTACCTCTCTCTCTTTCTCTTTCTTCTTCTTCTTTTCCTTCTTCTTCTCCTGCATTATGTACATGAATTTTATTAACATGAATATATGTTAACCATTTTGCCTTTGCTTGAATCACACACAATCATTTCCCTCCTAAAAACTAAAGCAAATTTTTCATTAATTCTAATCTTCTACACTTAATGATAATAAGCTTAACTCGATAAAATACTCCAAGCTGTGTAAAATTGTTAGTATAATTTCCAAAAGGTTCATCTCTCCGCAAGCTTACTACGCTAAATTCCTTCTTGACCCCTTGAGCACAAGGACCTTACAGGCATCTAATTCAAAGTCAAAACTCGTATAAGACAGCGATGATAAAGCCTAAGCAAACAAGTGGGTGGAGTGTGTTAAGAAGTTCACCTGGGTGGGCTGGGGCAAGGGTTCAGGCTCTACTACAACAGGCGGTGGTGGTGGTGTAGGCTCAGGCTCGGGCTCAGGCTCCACCTCCTGTGCAATTGTAGCTCCCATAAGCTCTGTATCGTCCTTCTTCCCTTTCAATTTCCGTACCTATGAGTGAGAGTACATTCAATATAAAGACTAAAAAGAGCAAAGTAGATGTATTTAGAAATAAATAAATAAACAGCAACATCTAACAATGCAATGATGAGTAAACTGCAAACATCATTATATATTCACAACTGACATCACACTTGGGGAGTTTTATCACAGAACGTGAAAAAATATGAATCATTTTGCCCTTCAAGTTATTTGAAGTACAAGAATAATGGAATTTGCCTCTTTCGATGTTCACTCTGACATTTCAATACAGTACCTATATTAAGACACAGCTGACTTAGGCATCAATTTTTGTGGTGTTTATTCTTTCTCTCTGTGGTCTAAGATGTATAATATGACTACTGTATTATAATAAAACATTTGACTATTTACATACTACCTGCGAGGGAGAGCAGTGATTACCTAATGGCAAGGAGCTCTGATTATCATCAAGAAAAATTTAACAAAGAACCAAATGGATTAAAATAATTTACATCAACCCAGTACAATATTCTAAAAAAAAGGATAAGTTATAGCCTGATATGAACAATCCAGTTTGTCATGATGTTTGCAACATTACTAAGGTTTCAATGTTCATGTATTGGGGTAGGGCATTGCCCCTTCCATCTTGGGACTGCCATGGATCAAGTGCCTTCTCAAAACACCTAAAGGTTTGGCCACGCAGCCGAGTGTTATTAATACTTGGCATGTTACGTGAGGTGGAAATTTAATAAAAAATGTGATGTTAAACTTACTTTAGGTTTCTTGTGCTGCTTTTCTGCCTTGGTTTGTGCACTCTCCTGTTCACGCTTATGCCGTTGTTCTGCTACAGCTTCTTCAAATGGGGTTTCCTTTGTGCCAAGAGTGGCCAACAGGTACACCAACCCCGTCAACACCACCACCACAACACCAAGAACCAAAATGTCCATGATGTCCTCCTATCAACACAACTGAAATTAATAATCATCATCATTCCCTATTCTTAATGTCTAATGCAAGTGTTTTGAGTAGAGTACAAATTTGTCTTTTACCACAAGTGTCATTTACCATATACGGTACTGTATAATGAACAAGATATAATGTCAATATTCTTTGCATATACAGTACAAAAAAATAAAGCACTTTGCACCAGTGATAACCCTTTAACCAACTAAACATCCTGTCAGTTACCTAATAAAATTTGTAATCTAAGCAAACTTTACCTGATTTGAAGTGTTTTGTCCCTATTCAATATGCATAGGTATTGCACTGTACATTCTTTCATCAACCCATTCAATACCTCTCAGAATCAGATGCAACTTGCAAGACCTTACCCAGACTCCAGTCAAGCTCCCTAATAACTTCACATGTTAAAGGTCAGTCACAACATTTCGACTTCAAACACAGTACAGTATACACTTATCTAAACTTCTCAAGGTACTGTACAGTACGGTTACAAAAATACAAACAGTCCTCAAGCTGTATGGTGTGAACTCTTCTGAATACTGTACCCGGATGAACTAAAGGTACAGTATGGTACCATAATTGGTTTAAAAATAAGTACTGCACCTACAAGCCACTTCTCTGATCACAATCCTATTAATGAGGTCAGTTTTTTCAGTCTTGTGTACACCATTTTCTACAACAGGACAAAGCGAGCCATAACCAAAGGTCATTCATCCATTCTTAATAGGTGGAAAATTTAAAGAAAGATTTAGTTTATCTATGAAAGTTCGGTGTACTGTTCTGTATATATAAACCCTTGGATCACCAGTAATGATTTTCTTGGCAGTGTAATGTGGTAAGATCGCACAGGTGTCGCTCAATATCTTTCATACACCATCAGATATACCCAATATTTTTTTTTCATCTACGACAAATAAATTGGCTAAAGGGTGAAATGCTTCTTACAATTGATTTTAAATAGCAGCCCCATACATATAAACTCAAAATACACATATCATACCATTACACCAAATTAATTTACATAACTTTCATCAATTCACATCAGAAATAACCCAATAAAAGCCCAATAACTAGGAGAATAAAAATGTAACAACCGAGGAACAATCTTGGCATCGTGAGAAAACAAACCAGTAAATATAAAGTGCAACAGGAGAGAGCAAAGGGCTGAGGCAAGGTTCTCGCCCTCTGCCAAGGTCAACCACTTCCAAGTTGTCTTCAGTTCAACATTTCAATCCCAATGTTCCCAGATATGAGTGAATGGGCCCGACCTACAACCACTTTGCACTGTCACATATGGTCACCCTCACGAAAAATACCTCGACTTTTCATAACTTTTTAACCATTATAATTCTAAGCTATACCTGATACATTATAATTCAAGCAATTGGTAAATTAATTGTACATGTGTGAAGAAAAGTCTCTTAGTTCTGAATAAAGTACCCCTGTATTTCGAAAGATGGGACCTAAATAGCACTGAAAGAAATCACACTAAAGTCACTTTCCAATCCATTTCCCGAGGTGTCCCCTCGCCAAAGACTGAAGACATTTAAAGCACGACATTTTCAACCATTAATTATTAAATGTTATATATTTTCGGAAAACCACTACATCAGGGTTTTCCAGTTAGCCCAGAGTAAAGCCAGAATACACCATCCTTGCCAAGGCAAACACTGTACAGTACTGTACCAAGATGGAGAGCAAAGCATCAACATAGGCCTAAGCCTGTGTACACTATATACCAGTTAGGAATTATAGACAAAACTTGGTTGAGTACAATGCCATTCTTTTGCAAAAAAAATTGCATTATAACATTTTTTCAGAGGAAATGGTGTTCCTTATCTATATTTTAGCACATACCCCAGGCATTCCTCTTATTAGTAATTACAGATTTGTCATTTGAAAATTACTATACAGTATATCAATATTTATATAACAATATTCTCATTTTCGAGCTCACCTGTTCAAATGTATGACAGTTACAACAAATCTGTTGTTCAATGTATGAGAGTTCTACTCGAAATGTCCGTTCATTCACAGGTCATTCAATTTTATTGTTAATATTCTACTAAATTTAAATACTAACTGTACTGTATTTATTAAAATTAACTATAAAATAGTCTCAAACATCTTGACTACTTAAAAAAGAAGTAAAGATTAGCATCACAAAGCATTAAATCAATTCTTTCAAACAATTGTGAGGAATTGGAAATAATCTTGTTTCATACACAAGTGTGCTGTGCTCTCACTCCTGCAGTGCATCTTGTCAGGTTACCATTCTTGTTTGCATAATGTTTTCTCCCTAGTATTATGGCCTCTTAAGCTGTCGCTGAGTGACAGCACCGTGAAGCAAAGTGGCGGAGAAGAACAACACTTATCATCATCAACGTTTTACGGCCATTTTCCACACTTGCTTGGGTTAGCCATGATTACCTGATGGCAGGTCTCCACACTGCAATCCCTTGCAGTCTCACCGAGGCAAAACTGGAGATTATTAACATCACTCCTGCATCAGCTCTGAGACCATCACTGGTGGGCATCACTTTTTTTCATAGGTATATATAATTTTCACAAGTTATCAGCTTACCAGAGACCGGGAAACCTGTGATGTTTGGTAGTGAGGGTCACATGTGTCCGAGCCATGCAGGACTCGAACCCTTGACACATTGGCGAGATATATGCGTTACCACTGTACTGTATATTTTAGGTTACGTGATGTATGTCACTGTTTGTATGAATAGGTTGCTAACAAGTGTTAAGTCAATGGACTTCGTGTTTAATTGTCAACAGATCACAAGAGAGAACTGGATGAACATCACCCGAGTTATTTGTCCAGGAGCGCTGGGCCTCAAAGCAGGCGTCATATTTAACAATTAAAAAAATTACCCTTGAATGTACTTTTAGAGGAAATTATTCCACAAACACCAGTATATGATTTAGGCATGAATAAAAAAAAATTTAATGCAGTTTTTTATGCTGAATACTGTGATAATGAAAGTTTGAGGAAATGCATAATTACGTAGTTATGACCCTCCTACCCTGTCAATCTTGACCCCACCAATGGTAGACAAAGATTTCAAGGAGACAAAATGGGGTATTAAAATTATAATTAAATACACAGCCTAATTTGGTCATTATTCCACAATCACTGGCAAATAATTTAGGCTCATAAGCTGGTGTCTAAATAATAACTAACAGCCCCCTTAGGAGTCAATTATGAATAAAAAAATTCTACACAGTTATAAGAAAACTTGTTTATTACCTCTTGAATATCAATAACTGGCTGGAGGTCATGCAACTTTATTAATTTTGTTTTACAATTTTTTCATCCTGAATATAAGCCTACGTCAATGCCCCACCTCTGTGCGGTGACCATTATCAGCCAACCAGTGACCAATTTATCGCAAGTAAGATACACCAACCAACTAAACCTAACCTAACCTCCTCGGTGGGTTGCAATGTTATTTTATTAACGGTTTGTATAGAAAGTTTACTGGGAAGGATTTGGTTGCTTACTGTTAGGATCCCTCATTAGCAAGTGTATTAACAGTTTAACCGTAAACAAGGTGTCGACGCACGGACCGACAGTATTTACTCGTCAAAACTTGAAAAAAATACAATTCCTCCAACTTTTTATTGATATTCAAGCTGTAAGAAACTAATTTTCTTCTATTGAATATTTAGCTAAAGTGGTTCCTTATAAAAGAATCATGATGTAAACTATTACCTTATAACTATACCGTAGTTCAACAATGGTTATTAATTTGTTAATGCCCTGGATGCACAGAGTGCAGCCTAGTGTAGGTGATGCATCCACAGCAAACTTGTCCTTTTTTCCTATTCTAACATGCGATCCATTAATTAACCAAATACACCCAATATTATCCCCAAAACAGCTGTTCAGTGACATTTTGTACATTACAACACTTAAAGGTCTAGGCTAGGGTGATATGTGACCATGAGCACTGTAACACATATAGGTCACACTTGATCAGCATGTGTTATTCTGTTCATTTCCACCCACAATAGTTACCAGTCACTATTTACAAAAGGTCATAACCCAATACGGACGGACATACAGACAACAGCACCAGCTCTGAAGACCACACTTAACCAGGTACTGAGAGGAAAACATCTGTTTATCTGATTTAAAGACACCAACATAGTTTTTCGACGTTTATAAACCTACAAAGAGTTATACTAAGAATGGTGACCAGGATATGACGTGAGCCCTGAGGGTCACACTTGCCTAAGGGCCACGTAGGCCAGCCTGGCCACCCACAACATTGTATATGTCAACAAACGCACATCAAATGTTTTACCACACGTGGCCCACCTCAGGTACTCCACCATTCATGCTCTAAAGTCAAGGTGCAGCGTTCACCAGGAGCGGCAGTGACCTGATGAGTAAAACACTGCCCAGCTGAGGATAGTAAATGACTTTGACAGGCCGGTGGTGGAAGCCCTGGTGGTAGTGCCTGGCCCCGCACAGATTGACCACATTTCTCCCAAACCTACAAGAGACAGCTGTGTTCCCGCCACCTGCACGTGATCTGTACACCTTGCTTACCTTTCCAACAGATGCAGACAGTAATCAAGTACGAAACGTAAATAATAATGGGTACCCCAAGACAGAGAGAGAGTGGGCCGCTCCCTCCCCTGCCTCACACAGTGCACTGGCCAATCTGTCTTGCAAAACGTGTTCTGATTGGCTGTTTGGCTCACACGTCTCATGAACAAAATGTGGAGGAAAAATATACGTTTCTATGTATTTGATACATACAAGGAGTGATTTACATTATTAATAAAATATAAAATATTTAAATTATAATATACCCTTACATATAATATTAAGGAATAAATTTCTAAATATCTGCTAATATTAAAAATATATTTTTCCGTACTCAAGTCTCTCAGTTCATGGCTGTTCCGGTCGGTATGTTCCTCCCTGCCACGTAGCCGCCATGGCAACTCCAAACAAACACCTAACGCGCCTGAATCAAGCCTAATGTTTTTAATACATCTTTTTAAATGTACTAATAAACTCATATTTATTTTGCTTGATGTAATATGGTTGAATATACTACCATATACACGCCCACACACGTCTTGCTCCATTCCAAATGTTCCCTCTTCCATTAAAAAGTTATTCCCGTTATTTGAAAAGTTATTCACTTGAGAATAATAAAATATAGAATTATATATATAAATGAGGATCTAGAAAACGAACTATTACATTTTGGATTTTATTTTACCAATGGCTAGCGCCCGTCAGCGGCATCTCACCAAATAAGCTTGTGCGTGGCCCATCTAGCTATCCTCAACATCGACATTACACGTCGCCTCTTATATAATCCTAAAATGAAAAGGAGACAGGTAGATCTGCCTAGCATCGTGAAGGATGTAAATGTGATCATGGTAGATATAGAAGGCACAACGACCTCCATTAACTTCGTTAAGGTGAGTTTAGCTGGACGGGACAACAGGTGCATCAGCTGTCTGGTGGGAGGGGGAGGAACACCGCCAACACTGACGTAAGCGCCCACCATTTACGATTTGGTTCAGTTTGTCTATTGCCTTTAGCTCGGCCTAATAGCTAGTTCCTCCTACTTTACTGCTACTAGCCACGCCTGTATGCTATTATTAGCATCTCTTCTGTCTATTAGTACTATACTGTGCGAACCATATTTGCTTACTATTATGAGCCACGCCTTTATGCTATTAGCCCCAAGGTCTGCTGTTAATAGCCTTGCCTGTCTACTGGTACTGTATTAGCCCTGTCTTCACTATAACGAGCCACGACTGTCTACTACTGTTAGCCTATCCTGTCTATTGTTACACTATTTATGCCTGTCTACTATTGCTAGCCTAGCCTCTATTAACCTAGCTCTCCCTATCTCACTTTTCAACTACCATCCCCTCCAGTCCTGTCTACGATATCCTGTCATCCCCTGTGAACTAGCCCCTTCTGTTTAATATCCTGTCTACCAATCCCTCCTGTCTACCATCAAAATTATGAACTATAACATTTTTATTATATAAATGTAAAATTAATTATAAACTCCAGAAAATGTCAAATAATTGTAAAACATCACTAAAAATAAAATTTAAATGTAAACTCTGCCTAAAAAATGAAAATTAATTGAGTAGGTCATACGGGGTGAATTTAATTTAAAATTGTCCATAAGAGGTCAAAATTAATTATTAATTGAGAATGAGGGTGAAAATGAGTTATTATTTGGGTCATGGATGATAATAATCTTACCAATAATAATGATACCAATAATAGTAATAATAATACTGATACCAATAATAATAATAATAATTTCAGTATCATCCTCTATTTATTACATTTTTTTTTAGTTATAGATACAGTACTCACTTCGTGTCCCAAGGGGCGTCGGTTCGATCTCGGGGCACTCCCAGTCTACCCAGTTGTAAATGGGTACCAAACTTTATAATTTGGGGAAGTAAAGGCAGTCAAACAATACTGGCCATACTACCTCCTTGCTTACCAAATATTTAACCTCTTCGCCACTGATCGGTTAGGTTAGGTTCGGTCTCAATTGTTGGACCTGTGGTTTTTTGTTGTATATTTACGAAGAAATAAAATGAAATATGATGCGAATTTTGAGGTGTGAAGGTTAGGCGAAGTTGTTATACTGTATTATGTATATCTGTCGTCATTCATTCCTTTAGCTTCTATCTGTTGTCCTGTATATTGCGAGTATATGCTGTTTATTTTATGTTTTATTCATTGTACACATGCCATTTATATCTAACGGACACCTCGATACACCGGACTTTCCTCTCTATATTGTCCGGTTAAATAGAGGTTTCACCATTGTATGTTATTTTTTTTTCAGTCACTACGTCATCTGTTTCCGGGTAAATGACTACTAAAGCCTAACGTCAGCACAGGGAGTGGCGGATATGATAAAAATTTTACCTTGTTTCCGGGAATTACTGGCTTAATACTTTTAGTTGTGTGTGTGTGTGATATTCTGGAGTTAATGGTTTCCTTACTAATTGTCTCTAGGTTCAGTAGTTATAAAAATAAACAGTAAAAACACTAGGCTAGACTATTGAAGCGTAGTGTTTACTTTTTAATAGCAGTTTTAAAATATATTATCTTAGTTATATAGTTTATAATTTTAGACTATTTGAACTCTACTTTTTAAAACCTTAATCAAAGGAGTTTTATATATGAAAAATAAATGATTACTGTGTCGATGTCCTTAAATGAAATATATGTACTGTACAGTGCTTTGATGGTGTTCGCGCCTTCCTTTATGAAATTTCACGTACTGTACCCAGAATATGTGCTATAAGCCTACTGTATTATATTCCTAGCACATACACATAACTGTAAACCACATTATGTACTTTGTGTGCTTCATTTCCGGTAAATAAATGCAGGCAGTCAAACCGCATCACGGAGATCCATTAAAACGTGATGTGTGTTTTATGCAGTATTTCCGCCTGTAAGTTTATACGTTACAGGTCAAGAAATACAGTTAGTCATAAAATACAGGAGAATGTGCTGTACTGGTGGTCTGTGTGTTATTTCCTCAAGGGGGCCTAAGAACGTAAATATCAAGGGACTTTGTAAACACCTGCAGGCTCTTTGGCCCTAGATACGATAACTCTCAATTATCTTTAATTTTTAACAGCATTTTGTAAATTATGTATTTTTTCTATTAGTTACAGTTTGGATATAGAGTTTTTGTAGTTGTGAGTTATAATATAGTTACTTTAATTGCCACCAGGGGTTTTAAACAGCGTTCGTTTGTCATAATTTCAAGAAACGACAAACCTTTTCTTAGCATTTCCAGTACTGTACTTCTTTAAACTGGAGATTAATCTATTTAAAAAAATTCTCGTGATGGTAAAGAATAAATTATTTTTTTGTGTTTTGTCTCAACCAGTGTGAGAGATGGGGTGAGGAAAGTTCCACACAAGAGAACCTTTGGCCAGACAGATCAATAAACTGAATCCCCCTATGAATGTTGTATAAACACTCTTCCTCATTCCAAGGTAGAAATGTCACACGTGGAAAGAACAAAAAAAAGAAGAAATAATAAACACTTGCGACAAAACCCATGACCCTCCAGGCTTTTACGCCCTCAATGCATGAGCCCTTAACTCATGAGACATAAAGGTAAGCATGAACTTAGCATGCTTCCCAGTTGGGCGCTGTAGGCGCTTCTGCGCTTCACCTTGCACAGGATGTAGGGGGGTGCCCAATAAAAGAAAAGCATGTGTCATAAAGGCAAGCATGAACTCCGCATGCTTCCCAGGTGGGCACTGTAAACGCTTCTGCACTTCACCTTGCACAGGTTGTAAGGGGGTGCCCAATAAACTAGCCTCCTCCGGGGCAATCTAAAAAAAAAAAAAATCTCGGCTTCCTTTATGAAAGATATTTTGTCCACACACTTAAAAGAAAATGTATATCTTTCACACGTATAGACTCTCACAGATTAAGTACACACGCACTCTCACACACTCACTCTCTCTCGCACACAAAAGATACACCCAGACACACACGTACACGTATCCTCCCAAACATACAAACTCAAATGTAGACGAGCTCTCTCTCTCTCTCTCTCTCTCTCTCTCTCTCTCTCTCTCTCTCTCTCTCACACACACACACACACACACACATATATATATATATATATATATATATATATATATATATATATATATATATATATATATATATATATATATATATATATATATATATATATACATACACTCACAAAATCAAAACAATAACCCCATTTTGTTTGTGTGTGGTAAATGAATGTAACAAGCAAGAAGGTCTCATGTGATGGCGGCGTCGTGTGTGTATGTGTGGGGGGTGGAGAGCGATGACCTGGGTCCACATCTACCTGAAGATTTTAAGAATTATACCCAAACTGGTTATCTTAAACACCAAGATGATATACCAAAAATAACATTAATATTACTCTTAAACTCTTTACCTTAATTATTATTATTATTATTATTATTATTATTACTAATATTATTATTATTACTATTATTATTTATATTATTATTTATATTATTATTATTAGACTACAGAACATTACGTGATGATAGTAGCATCCTGTATGTCTGTCTGTACCCAGGGCTGAGATTAGTTACTCATGCCTCGGTTCACTGTCCTATAACCTCACTTTTCCGGACCTCATTATACACTGCTCGAGGCCTTAGATCACGCTGGGTGCGTCATTGAACACCGAGGCCTCATTCAACACAGTTCCAGACGTTATTTGTTACAGTTTGCGACCTCTATTCATTCTCTTCGTAGCCTCATTTGCCTTTATTCCATTCTTCTTTAAATTCTCTCAATACTCGATTTAACATTGTTAGTTTATGTTTATTTATTCCTGGCGGTATATAGGTTAGGTAGGTATTTTTTTACTTGATTTAACCTGATGTATGTCTATTAGTGGTACCTAGGAGAGAGAGAGAGTCACCTTTCATACGAATATATAGTCAAATATACAGTACACACAGTCACAGGTTATAACTAGGTAAGACTCTATGCTGACCCCTCCTCCACCACCCCTTCCACATTCTTAGCGGTGCAGCATAAAAAGAGCGTAAACTTGTTCCGCCGTTACTCGAATCTAGCAAATACCGCTCAAGTATAGCGGCTCTGATACCTCCGCCCCCACCACACACACACACACTCTTGTCATACAATTTTTATGATTTTTACGGCATATTATTTGCTTTTTCTTTTTTAACTATATTGGGATCATTTTCGTCTGCTGGTATTTCGGTATTAAGAATATTAAGTTGAAAATCATCTCTCTTCTCATCTCTCTCACTCAAAACTAAAATCATAACCCACTTTGCTGTAGACTTGGAAAAAGAAGACAAACTGGTGAAAGTGTGACCAATCATTTTAGTAGAGCGGTTTTCTCCAACAGGAATTTATGTAATCGAGTTTTATCCTGTGGAAATTTGCCACCGTGAGAGGAAATCTGTCTGTCACCTTGTTAACCGGATGTATGTATGTATGTATATGCTGATAACTTCGTGTTTTCTTGTTTCCTATGTGGTTATCAGCATATACATGGATCACGCGCACCTACTGTACGTTGATTTATTTGCATGTATGTATGTACCTCTTCTCACACACTACCTAATACCATATCCCTTTGGCTGGACAGGAGGAACTGTTCCCATACGTGCGTCGAGAGGTAAGGAATTACTTACATGACACCTGGGACACTAATGACACCGGGGATGATGTACTCGCCCTCACACAACAGGTAGGTGGATCTCGTTCCATTGAGTATGTTATAATTTATGTGTTCGTGAGTGTAAATATTTGTTGATGTGAAGATGTTCCGATAAAGGTGTGAAAATAATGTTTCTGGGTGAAGTACCTAAAGCAAAAGAACATCAACAATATCCCGATATATATTTACGCTCTGGCCAAGACAAAAATAACTTTGAAACTGATTCAAACAATACTGAAATGAATAAGCATACAAAGTTGTTTCACTGACCCAGAAAATTGTAAAATGGTGACTGTTCTTAAGACGTGAAGAGAGAGAGAGAAAAAAGAGACAATGGTGTATTTATTATAGGAGGGAGAACGATAAAGGACAAACAGAAGAGGGCCAAAAGAGTATTGACAATATGATATTCTTGATCCCGCATTCATTCACTTATTACATTAAACTTCAAACAGGTCGTTATGTCCATCAATTAATGTCAGTTTCAAAATTACAATCATAAACCAAGTTGAGACAGAATACCATCAGCTTGCTCATATCGACTGATGGAGTTGACCTGCGAGAGATGACTAGACAAACACCCGGCAGAACAAGAAGTCGGGACGGTGTACTGATACGTGACATATAAACAGATGATTTTTTTTTTGTGTGTTTGACTCCAAATCGTTTCGACCCTAAATAGATGAAGATAAGGTAATCCAAATGTGTCTTATCATTGTTAAATTTACCAAAATATGTCCTGAGCTGTCATTAATGGGGCCATGAGTTAGTAAGTGCTGGCTGGCTGTGTTTGGTCAAGACTCGACCCTGACATTTATTCACCATAAATATTATATCAACACACCTGAACACCTTCTACCACACACACACACATAGACGTGTTTAGTTCACGGGCGTTTCCTTGTAAGACCGGAAGTTTATCTGTAAGACAATTTTTCTTGGTATAGTCTCTCTAAAAGCAATAGTGACTAATTGGAAGGAGAGGCAGGGAGGGAGGATAGGGAGAAGGAGGAGGAGGAGGAGGGGAAGGAGATGTAGGAGAAGGATAAAAAGAAGGAGGAGGAGGGGACAGGTACAATCTTAGACGATTATCCACAGATCAAGGTGTGGTGAGAGGTCATGGTTTACGGGGTAGCTGAGGTCACCCTTTTTTCTTTTCTTTTTTCATTTATCGGGCACCCCCCCCCCCTCCACCCCCAAAAAAAACTAAGGTGAAGCGTAGAAGCGTTTACAGCGCCCAACTGGGAAGCATGCTAAGTTCATGCTTGCCTTATGTCTCATGAGTTAAGGGCGTAGAAGCCTGAAGAGTCGAGGGCGTAGTCTGGTTAGGTTAGGTTCCCTTGGGAGACAACCCGATCATCCTGGGTCATATACCAGGTCACAGGTCAAGGTAGAAGAACTTATCTCTGGGAACGACTAAAATCCCTTTTTGGACCAAAACCTAACCTAACCTAACCTTAGTGGAGAGGTCACAAGCATACTAAAACGGGCCCCAGTTGACCTTTGACGTGATGGTGACGTCATGCAAGGCTTCCCACACCCCAGGGTAAGGAGAGAGTGTTGTTGTTATGCCCCGCCGCTGCCCTGTCATCCTGTTTTGTGTTTGTGTTTGTCATCTCTGATGGTCGTCAAGATGTGAGAGTATTATGTGTTAGTATCCCCCTCTCTCTCTCTCTCTCTCTCTCTCTCTCTCTCTACACACACACACACACACACACACACACGGACGGACGGACGGGAGATGGGGGGGTTGGGTCGGGCTGAACTCTTAACACTTATTGATTATCTATATTATTATTTATTCAGTTTATCTCCGCTGTACACACATACACCTCCAGTTGTACCTGATGCACCCCACCATCACGCCCCTCTTCCCTCCCTCCCCCTCCCTCTAGTGGGTGTTTGGGCGTCTGTGTGATGACTGACTTTTTACCTTTTATGAGCGATGGAGAGAGAGAGAGAGAGAGAGAGAGAGAGAGAGAGAGAGAGAGAGAGAGGAAGTGTTCGTATGTATGTGTGGTGTACGTGTATATGTATGCATGGAGGATGTGTGTGTGGGGGGTGGGGGGCGCCCTTACCGTTAGCCTGTAGGTGTAAGGTAAGGAGGCGTGACTCTCTCCTCCCCCCACACACAAAATAACTTGTATTTAAAAGTTTCCATCACCAGACGCTCTCTTTTTATGATTTCATTTTCTCTAACATTTCGTTCACCTTCAAGCTTAAAATATTACAACTGGAATAAATCGTTTTTTACTTTGTATTTATTTTTTACTTTTTTCCATCAATTTGATTTTTATATTTAAGAAAACACCTTAATGCCTTTTTTCTCATAACCTAACCTAGCCTACTGTAATGTAGCAGAACTTAATCTAACCTAACCTAATCTAACCTCAACATAACCTAACCTAATCTAACCTCAACATAACCTAATCTAATCTAACCTCAACATAACCTAACCTAATCTAACCTCAACATAACCTAATCTAATCTAACCTCAACATAACCTAACCTAATCTAACCTCAACATAACCTAACCTAATCTAACCTCAACATAACCTAACCTAATCTAACCTCAACATAACCTAACCTAATCTAACCTCAACATAACCTAACCTAATCTAACCTCAACATAACCTAACCTAATCTAACCTCAACATAACCTAACCTAATCTAACCTCAACATAACCTAATCTAATCTAACCTCAACATAACCTAACCTAAGCTAATGTAACAGAACGTAACATAACCTAAGCTTAACCTAACCTAATCTAACCTCAACATAACCTAACCTAAGCTAATGTAACAGAACGTAACCTAACCTAACCTAATCTAACCTAAACGCCCAAATGAAACCCAATGATAGAGTAGATTAAGGCATGATAGAGTATTTTGAGACATGATAGAATAGATCTAAACAAATTTTTCGAATGGTCTGAACAATGGCAGATGAAATTCAACGTGGACAAATGTAAAGTACTCAGTATAGGAGATGTAAACAGGGAAACCAGTTACCAGATGAAAAACGATGGTGTTAAATCTGAGTGGGGCTGTGTAACCAGTGGAGTGCCCCAGGGGTCAGTACTAGGCCCACTCTTGTTCATAATCTACATAAACGATCTAGATACTGGGATCAGCAGTGACATAAGCAAGTTTGCGGATGACATCAAAATAGGGCGGCAGATTAATTCAGGGCAGGATGCAGATGCACTACAGGAGGATTTAAATAAACTGCAGGGGTGGTCAGAAAAATGGCAAATGAAATTCAACACCAGCAAGTGCAGTGTACTTAATATTGGAAGAACAAATACTGTCAATGTATACAGCCTTAACAACATCAACCGAGAGAAGTCGACTTGTGAAAGAGACTTAGGGGTACTTGTAAGCCCGGACCTACAGCCTAGAAAACAGTGCGTTAATGTTCGAAATAAGGCAAACAGAGTATTAGGTTTTATATCCAGAAGTGTAAGTAATAAGAGTGCAGAGGTCTTATTGCAACTATATCTTGCGCTAGTCAGGCCGCACCTCGATTATGCGGTTCAGTTCTGGTGCCCTTATTATAGAATGGATATCAATTCACTGGAGTCGGTGCAGCGAACAATGACGAAAATGATTCCGGGAATTAGAAACCTTCCATATCAAGATAGGTTAAAGAAACTAAACTTGCATTCCCTAGAAAGACGAAGAGTGCGGGGAGATATGATAGAAGTATTTAAGTGGGTGAAAGGAATCAATAAAGGGGATATAGATAAAGTTCTTATAATATCCGAGCAGGATAGGACTCGTAGCAACGGATTTAAGTTGGATAAGTTTAGGTTTAGGAGGGAGATAGGAAGAAACTGCTTCACAAATAGGGTGGTGGACGAGTGGAACAAGCTTAGCAACTTTATAGTAAGTGCTGGAACGCTGGAAAGTTTTAAAAGGAGGCTGGATAGACTCATGGATGATAGAGTGGTAGTAACTCTCGACAGGAGCTGCCATGCACAGGCCAACCGGCATATTGTAGACTCCTTATTTTCTTATGTTCTTATGATAGAGTAGATTAAATGCATGATAGAGTAGATAAAGTCATGATAGAGTAGATTAAAAACATGATGGACTAACGAGCATTAAGACTCCCCCTTATTGATGTTAATTCAGGGCTGGATGCATATCTTCAAGAATCTCTGGCCGGATATCCGTCCGGCCACTGAGCCATTCCCCTCTCTCATATGTGTGTTACCCAAGCTTGTGTTTTACCCCACACCCCTCCGAGGCCCCTTCAGGGACCCAGGACACCCAACTAGCAGCGTTCGTATCTTGGCTTTGACTTTGGTTTCAGTTTGATATGTATGTATACATGTATGTATGTATGTATGTATGTAGGTCGGTTGGTCGGTCGGTCGGTCGGTCGGTCGGTCGGTCGGTAGGTAGGTAGGTAGGTAGGTAGGTAGGTAGGTAGGTAGGTAGGTAGGTAGGTAGGTAGGTAGGTAGGTAGGTAGGTAGGTAGGGTAGGTAGGTAGGTAGTAGGTAGGTAGGTAGGTAGGTAGGTCGGTAGGTAGGTCGGTAGGTAGGTAGGTAGGTAGGTAGGTCGGTAGGTAGGTAAATTGCGAGCGAATTCGTTGTATATCCACCAGTCACGTCTGTTTAAGGTGTGTGCAAGTTTCCTCACAGCTGTTATCGTAAATCTGGACGCTTTTCGATCGTATTTTTTCTCTGATATTTTAATCATAAAGCTAAGCCGTGGAGGTGATAACAGTGATCCATTGATAACAGGAGAGAAATGCCGTTGTTATGATAAATTTACTGTTGATCTGTTGTCAGTGCCTGTATGTATATCCGTTGTTGTCATGTGTATGTATTAATAGGCGCGTCTTTTTTTTACCCTTTATTCTCTCATCTCTCTCTTCCTTTTCTCTTTTTTTTTTGTCTTGTCTCTTTTCCTTTTTTTCCGTATCTTATCTGTATCTCTCGTTGGCTTTCTTCTCTTTGTTTTTCTCTTTTTTCTTCATCTCTCTTTTCCTTTCTTCTCTATCTCTCTGTTTCCTGTTCCTTTATATCTCTCCTTTTCTTCACCCTATACCTCTGTGTGTGTGTTGGTACTCCCGAAGGAAAGCTTTCTATTCGATTTGTACCTACAGGTTATGGAAGACGTGGCAGAAGGTGTAGCGGGGAGCAAGCCACTGCCTGCTGGGGGTGAGAGCGAGAGAGAGGATCTGATCGCCGCCCTGGTCACCAATATCCTGGGTATGATGGACGCCGACAGGAAAGTCACGCCCCTCAAAACTCTACAGGGACATATGTGGAGGAAAGCTTACCGCGACGGCACCATCACTGGCCAGTAAGTATAGTCCACCTTTCCTGGTTTCTCACCTGTTTGATCTTAATTAGGGAGAGTTATAAAGGTGATTTAGGTTAGGTTAGGTTAGGGCCAATTGGGATTAGGTTAGGTTAGTTTAGATTGGGTTATGCTAGGTTAGGATAGGCTAGATTAAGTTAGGTTAGGATAGGCAAGGTTAAGTTAGGTTAGGCGAGGCTAGTTTAGGGCCTATTGGGGCTAGGTTAGGTTAGGGCTTATTACAAAAGAACATAAGAAAATAAGGAGTTTGCAATAGGCCGGTTGGCTTGTGCATGGCAGCTCCTGTCTAGAGTTACAACCATTCTCTATCGTCCATGAATCTATCTAGCCTCCTTTTAAAACTTTCCGGCGTCCCAGCACTTACTACAAAGTTGCTAAGCTTGTTCCACTCGTCCACCACCCTATTTGTGAACCAGTTTCTTCCCATCTCCCTCCTACCTAAACTTATCCAACTTAAATCCGTTGCTAAGAGTCCTATCCTGCTCGGATATTATAAGAACTTTATATTTCCTTTATTGATTCCTTTCACCCACTTAAATACTTCTATCATATCTCCCCGCACTCTTCGTCTTTCTAGGAAATGCATGTTTAGTTTCTTTAACCTATCTTGATATGGAAGGTTTCTAAGTCCCGGAATCATTTTCGTCATTCTTCGCTGCACCGACTCCAGTGAGTTGATATCCATTCTATAATAAGGGCACCAGAACTGAACAGCATAATTGAGGTGCGGCCTGACTAGCGCAAGATATAGTTGCAATAAGACCTCTGCACTCTTATTACTTACACTTCTAGATATAAAACCTAATACTCTGTTTGCCTTATTTCGAACATTAACGCACTGTTTTCTAGGCCGAAGGTCCGGGCTTACACGTTCCCTTAAGTCTCTTTCACAAGTCGACTTCTCTAGGTTGATGTTGTTAAGCTGTATACATTGACAGTATTTGTTCTTCCAATATTCAGTACGCTGCACTTGCTGCAGGTGTTGAATTTCATTTGCCATTTTTCTGACCACTCCTGCAGTTTATTTAAATTCTCCTATAGTGCATTTGCATGCTGCCCTGAATTAATCTGCCGCCCTACTTTGGTGTCATCCGCAAACTTGCTTATGTCACTGCTGATCCCAGTATCTAGATCGTTTATGTAGATTATGAACAAGAGTGGGCCCAGCACTGACCCCTGGGGAACCCCACTAGTTACACAGTTCAGATTTTAGATCATCTACGCTGACCCTCTGTGTTCTATCGGTGAGCCATGATTTTATCGAATTTAAAACTTTCCCTTCGATACCATGAGCCTAGGGTCCATTTGACGACTCACCCGTTATTGACTTATATAGACCCAAGGTCCAGGACCTGGACTATCACGTGATAATCTTGTTTACAAAATGATCCCACATGATAACTGGTATTTTATTGTGGTGTTTTATATGATAACAATTGTCTGTGATCTTTAATGATTGTCTTAGAATTGTATAAAGTTATATCCTGATCGATGTTTATTGTATACACCTTTGTGAAATAAACATACACACACACACACACACACACACACACACACACACACACCATGTCTTTGTATGTAATAAGTCATTTTTGTCTAATGTATATTTTCAGTCTTCGGGTTGCAAAACTTTTTCAATAATCCGTTAATTATTATTATTTTTATTATTTTTATTATTATTATTATTATTATTATTATTATTATTATTATTATTATTATTATTATCACACACACACACACACACACACACACGTACATACATAGTGATAGACCTGGTTTTTAACAGTAGAAAGAACCTATTATGCTTTGCTGGCTTACAGTGTAAATTGATGGGGTGTAAGGAATAGTGGCTTCAAGGCTTGGGTAGTGTAGTGTAGGTAGGGTATAGTGGCGTGGTGTAGGGTATAGTGGCGTGGTGTTGGATATAGTGGTTGGGTAGTGTAGAAATGGGAGTGGAGACAGCGATTCACCGTGTAAGGTATCATATGTTTACAAACTTTACATAACAAAGCTCGCTGGTAGCCTAGTCGGATAGGGGGTGGGTGACACACACACACACATATACACACACACACATACATACACATACATACATACATACATACATACATACATACATACATACATACCTTCATCCTATGATAACTAAAGACTAATGAATAAAAAAAATAAAAAATAATAATCTCTACTCACGAATAGGCTAAAGTACCAAACGTTTCTCTATTGGGTATTAATGACCAGCTTTTAAGGACCTATTGGAGTTCAGTTTCTATCGAGAGTATTAATATTTGACGATTTTTAAGTACATTTAACAATTCTGGCATTTAGGATCTAGGAGGGAAAGGTTGGTGAGTGTTTTGATAGTTGCGTTAAGTAAGGATAAATCTAGGTAAGGTTAACATTATCCTGGGCATCAACGGTACTAGATTAACATTATCCAGGGCATCAGCGGTACTAGATTAACATCTTGGGCATCAGCGGTACTAGATTAACATTATCCAGGGCATCAGCGGTACTAGATTAACATCCTGGGCATCAATGGTACAAGATTAACATTATTCTGGGCATCAGCGGTACTAGATTAACATTATCCAGGGCATCAACGGTACTAGATTAACATCCTGGGCATCAGCGGTACTAGATTAACATTATCCAGGGCATCAGCGGTACTAGATTAACATCCTGGGCATCAATGGTACGAGATTAACATTATCCTGGGCATCAACGGTATTAAATCAACAGTGAACTCAACAGAACAACGGTATAGACGTTATGACAACGGTAGTAATCTTATCGTTATCTGAAACTGAACTGGATACCAACTATCATATTTAATATAACAGATTACATGTAGGTCATCCAGTACTTTGATTGTCTAAGGTATGAGGTATTAGGGTTATGGTATGAGATAAAACAAATGAAGAACGTTAATTATATAAGGTATAAGGGTTATGGTATGAGATAAAACAAATGAAAAACGTTAATTGTATAAGGTATTAGGGCGGTGGTATGAGATAAAACAAATGAAGAACGATAATTGTATAAGGTAATAGGGTGGTGGTGGTGGGTGGCCGTACACCTGAGTAGCAGAGAATGGGAGAGGTAGAAGGTGCTGATGATATAGGTTGAGAGAGAGAAGGAGTGAAAATGGGTCTGGCGAGAGAGAGAGGGTGAGCCAGTTTACCTGTGTGTTACCAGGTAGTCACTTGACACCTGTATCTTGTTAATAATTTTCCCAGCCCCACTCCTCCCCCTCTCACTCCCGTATCTATCCCAGAGAGAGAGAGAGAGAGAGAGAGAGAGAGAGAGAGAGAGAGAGAGAGAGAGAGAGAACACTATTTTTACCGTAGCCTAATTCTAATTCCTTCGTGTATGTGTGTGTGTGTGTGTGTGTGTGTGTAATCGTGGCTCGTCTCACAGGTGTGGCGGTCACCTGCATGGCCAGTGTGACGAAACACCTTAATAAGTCCCGCCAGGTGAGCGACTCATTGCTAACGGTGATATCTCTCTCTCCCTCTCTCTCTCCCCTGGTTATATTGCCTGTTTATCTCTCTCTCTCTCTCTCTCTCTCTCTCCTCCATACACCCGATAGGGATGGTAATTAGTACAGGACCGAGACACCTGGGTGACCTTGACGTGGACAGCCAATCAGCTCGTCCTATCTCGCTGGTAGTTGGGGGGGGGAGGGGGTAGGGTGGGGGACGGGGGTGAGGGGGATATATACTATAGTGGTGGATGGAGAGGGTGATGATGGTAGTGATAATGGTAGTACTGGTAGTTGGTTTGCTGGTACCGTACTCTGTTAGTAATGGTGGTGGTAATAGTAGTAGTAGAAGTAGTAGTAGTAGCTGTTGCTGTTGGTGTAATAGTAGTAGTTGGACGTCAGTGCTCGAGGATTCTGGACGCGGGGACAGCGAGCTTTCTTCGACATCAGGATTTTTTATCCCGTGGCCGCTTGTCACCGTAACTTAGCTCTCGATGCTGCACACAGGAGGAACGAGAACGACAAGATAAGGGCATACGGGGAGAGAATTCAGATCGTTGATCAAGGCAGCTTCACTCCTCTGGTGTTCACAACCTCTGGTGGGATGGGACCAAGTGCAAGTTGCTTCTACGCCAGACACGCGGAGGTGATCTCCGAACAGAAGCAGCAGCCCAGAAGTTATGTTACAGCCTGGATGAGATATCGACTGTCTTTCTCTCTCCTTCTGTCGGCTTTGCTCTGCCTCAGGGGAACGAGAGCTTCGGCCCCAAAGCCGACAACAGTTGCAGATATTGACTATGAGGCTACAGTCACTGAATGCCGCATAGATCTGCGGCTCAACTAACTCAACACTGATAGGATAGCTATATATGTATAAGGATATTTAATATTAAGGTAATAAAATGGTGGCGAAGGAATGGCTATTGGGGGAAGCTGGAGGCCATTTTATATATATATATATATATATATATATATATATATATATATATATATATATATATATATATATATATATATATATATATATAAAGTAGTAGTAGTGGTGGTGGTAAAAGGTGTAGTTTCTAAGCTGGCCGAGAGAACGCTATTAACCTTATATAATACTGATTGAGCTGTGTGGTGACCTCCCCCATTCTCTCTCTCTCCTTCTTTATTCCCTCCCTCCCTCACCCTCCATTCTGTTATATCTCCCTCCAATATCTTCCTATCTGTCTCCCTCCCTCCCTTCACACACACACACACACACACACACACCTGGATAAAGCTAATCACGTCATGTTGATAGCAAGTAAGGTGTGAATACGTGCTGTACCTGCTGTTACCTGTGTGTTGTACCTGTGTGCTGTATCTGCTGTTACCTGTGTGCTGTCTGCTGTTACCTGCTCTGTTGTTACCTGTGTGTTGTACCTGCTATTACCTGTGTGCTGTATCTGCTGTTACCTGTGTGCTGTACCTGTTTGCTGTATCTGCTGTTACCTGTGTTGTACTGCTAGTGTGCTGTATCTGCTGTTACCTGTGTACTGCTACCTGTATATACCTTACCTGTGTGCTGTATCTGCTGTTACCTGTGTGCTGTACCTGCTGTTACCTGTGTGCTGTATCTGCTGTTACCTGTGTGCTGTACCTGTAATTAGTATACCTATGTGCGGTACCTGCTGTTACCTGTGTTGTACCTGCTGTTACCTGTGTGCTGTTACCTGTGTGTGCTGTATCTGCTGTGTGTGCTGTACCTGTGTACTGTGCTGTACCTGTTAATACCTTCTGTTACCTGTGCTGTACCTGTAATGTGCGGTACCTGCTGTCACCTGTGGGTTGTACCTGCTGTTACCTGTGTGCTGTACCTTTGTTACCTGTGTGCTGCACCTGCTGTTACCTGTGTGCTGTACCTGTAATTAGTATACCTATGTGCGGTACCTGCTGTCACCTACCTGCTGTTACCTGTGGGTTGTACCTTCTGTTACCTGTGTGCTATACCTTCTGTTACCTGTGTGCTGTACCTGTAATTAGTATACCTGTGCGGTACCTGCTGTCACCTGTGGCTGGTACCTGCTGTTACCTGTGTGCTGTACCTTCTGTTACCTGTGTGCTGTACCTGCTGTTACCTGTGTGCACCTTGTTACCTGTGTGCTGTACCTGTAATTAGTATACCTATGTGCGGTACCTGCTGTCACCTGTGGGTTGTACCTGCTGTTACCTGTGTGCTGTACCTTCTGTTACCTGTGTGCTGTACCTGTAATTAGTATACCTATGTGCTGTACCTGCTATTACCTGTGTGCTGTACCTTCTGTTACCTGTGTGCTGTACCTGTAATTAGTATACCTATGTGCTGTATCTGCTGTTACCTGTGTGCTGTACCTTCTGTTACCTGTGTGCTGTACCTGTAATTAGTATACCTATGTGGTGTATCTGCTGTTACCTGTGTGCTGTACCTGTAATTAGTATACCTATGTGCTGTATCTGCTGTTATCTCTGCTGTACCTATTCAACCCCTCCTCTCCACGTGACTAAACACTCAACACGTCTCCCTCCTCGTCCCCCAGCGTGTACGAGGACGCAGTGGAGGCCCTGAAGGCGTGGAAGAAGGAGGGGAAGAAGCTCGTCGTGTACTCCTCCGGCAGCGTTCAGGCCCAGAAGCTTCTCTTTGGTTATTCCTGCTATGGCGACCTTCTGCATGTGAGTGTGTGTGTGTGTGTGTGTGTGTGTGTGTGTGTGTGTGTGTGTGTGTGTGTGTGTATTTACCTGAGCCCCGGCGTGTTACCTGACTAAATGAGGTGGACTATTAATCTGTTTACTCATTAAATATTTTAGTTTTCTGCTCTCTCTCTAACCCCCCCCCTCTCTCCGGCAGTACTTCAGCCAGCACTTCGACACGACGGTGGGGTCTAAGGTGGAGACGGAGAGCTATCTAAAGATCCTCCGTCAGCTGCACTGTGGCCCCGACCAGGTGCTCTTCCTCACCGATCTGGTTAAAGGTTAGTTTTGGGGAGGTCACGAGGGAAGGTTATTTGACTCCTGACCTGGCTTGACCTGGCCTAGCCTAGCCAAACCTAATCTGACCTAACCTAACCTAACCTTTATATAACAAACTATTATTGGAGAAAACAATCCATTAGATGTGAAACCTCCTTACAACGGACTATACCTCTAAATATGTCCGGTAAATAGAGTTTTTTTTTACTACTATATGCGTACCTACCACAGAGGCAAGAGCGGCGACAGAGGCTGGACTGAAGGTGATATTGTCCGTAAGGGAAGGTACGGCCGCCCTTACACCCCAAGACCGGAAGGACTTCCCCGTCATCACCTCCTTCGGGCAGCTCCTCTCCCATCCTGCAGAAGGTGACTCTCCCCCCGCTAAGAAGAGAGCGGGGAAGGAGAAGAAGGAGGGAGAGGAGAAAGAAGAGGAAGATAAGGAGGGAGAGGGAAAAGAAGTGGAAGATAAGGAGGGAGAGGAGAAAGAAGATGGAGATAAGGAGGGAGAGGAGAAGAAAGAGGAAGAAGAGGACGATGAATGAAGATCTGAGAAGAAAGAAAGAAAGAAAGAAGAAATGAGAAGTAAATATCTGGATGGGGAAGCCGTGAGATAGAATAGGAGATGAAAGAAGAGAGGGAATTATCGAGAAACAAGTAAGGTATGAAAAGATGGAAGAGACATAGAGAGGAGCAGAGATGATAGGAGTTCAGTTGAGATGAAGAGAATTGGGGACGAGTGAGAGAGGGAGAGAAGATAGATAGAAATAAACTGACTAATAACTATATTCCACGCTCAAGTCCCGCCCCCCCTCTCTCTCTCTCTTGGTTCTCTCCATCCATTCTCTCTCTCATATTTTTCACCATTTCCTCCCTCCCGTCCACCCACCCACTCCACCCACTCACCCACCCACTCACCCACCCACTCCACCCACCCACTCCACCCACCCTCCACCCACCCTCTCCCCCCACCCACCCAACCCACTCGCCCACCCACTACTAAAAAGGCTTCTCAATAAAACTGTATAGACTGAAATAAAAAAATTAAAACAAAAATTATTTCATTTTTACTTGATGTGTGTGTGTGTGTGTACTGATGTAATATCTGATAAAACCACTTAGAATCACATGAAGATTAGCCACCCCCCGCATGCTTCACTTAATGATTACACACCTCAGTGCTATAGCTACCTATGTGGGGGGTAGTTAAATTAGCGTTAGGTGAGGTGAGGGTAGGGGATCTAATATTAAACTAAAACAAACTTAACTATTCCCGTATCCAAACTTAACCTAACCAATCTATGTTTCTTAGTATATATCTTAGACCTTGGTGTGTGGGGTGAGAGAGACAGACAGAGTATGAGAGAGAGAGAGAGACAGTAGTAACCAACGTCAGGTATACCGTCTGCTACCGTCAGCCAGCCATTGTTACCTGGTCTGAAAATGATAAGAATGACACACACGCAGTAAAAGGTGGTTTGTGGTGAGATGTGTGGACCTGATGACCTGTGATGTGTTGTGCTGTGTTAGTGGTGTGTTGTGCTGTGTTAGTGGTGTGTTGTGCTGTGTTAGTGATGTGTTGTTGTTAGGTTAGGTTAGGGTACGTTGGGTTAAGTTAGGTTAGGTTAGGTCTCCTGACGATGACTGCTGACACTAACACTATCACCCTCCTGACGACGGGTGCTGACACTCCTGACGACGGCTGCTAACTCTCCCACGGTCCAACAGGTATTCGGTTGTGTGTTATCTGGCGGGATTGAATGACTCAGCGAATTGGTCCAGTGCTGTGAGCTAGTACCGCAACCAACTTCTTTATGGTGTGACCTTGTGGCAGTAATCCATCCGTCTATCCATCCACCTGTCCATCTATATGTTCGTCCATCCATCCATCCATCTACCTATTCATTCGTCCATCCATACACCCATCTACCTATTCATTCGTCCATCCATCCACCTATTCATCCATCTATCCATCCATCTAAACACAGAAAAGATCGTTTTTAGAGGAGTTAACATACAAGAAAAGATTATTAGATGGTTCCAATGTTGCCTGAGGTGTGCGTGTGTGAGGTGGTGGTAGGGGGAGGGTGGAGAGTGGGGGGAAGGGGTGGGGAGGAGGGGCTGTAAGGTGTCTAGTTTCGTTTAAAAAATTTATTGACAAAGCTTGTAGTACAGTTTGCCTATTCTGAGTAATTCAGTCAGGTCTTGACACTGTGGGTGCTATGGTGGTAGTGAAGAGGAATGGAGGAAGAGGGAGGGGTATTAGGGAGTGGAGAGTGGGAATGGAGGTAGTGGAGTGGAGGGAGGAGGGAGGGGGGCATCAGCCAAACGTCCTTCAGGGTATAGGGCGGACATTGTTACTCCTCCACACTCGACAAAAACACATCAAGAGTTGAACAAAGAAATTCTAAATCTCTCTCTCTCTCTCTCTCTCTCTCTCTCTCTCTCTCTCTCTCTCTCTCTTCATAACCTAACCTATCTCTCCCCCATCACTCCACCCTCTCTAACACACGTACAGTCATCACTCATCGTCTAGTCTGGCGATAAACGATAACAACATAAATTACACGACGATAGCAGAACGACGATATCTGGATGATGATAACTGGACGACTATTATCACTGTTATCGTATTTATATCGTCAGGGCAGCCTTGGCTTATCAGTGCCCTGTCTCCATCTTCAGTGGCGTGTGAGTGTCATACTTAAGGCTAGGATTGAAGGAATGAGCTGAATTTGTTGAGTTTGTAGTATCTGTCAGTCAGTCAATAAGTCAGTCAGTCAGTCAGTCACTCAGCCAGCCAGTCAGTCAGTCAATCAGAATTAGCCAATATATAGCTAACTGATGCACCTAGAATCACAATTGCACGGTGACCCAGTGACTGACTTGTGTAGTGAGTAAGAGAGAGAGAGAGAGAGAGAGAGAGAGAGTAACATTTCATTGTACTGTACTTGATTTTGGTTGTGTTGGTGGTGGTGGTTGTGGGGGGAACGTAGTTGTGGTTATAATGATAGTAGTTACAGTAGTTGTAGTAGAAATAATAGTAATAGTAGTAGTAGAAATAATAGTAATAGCAATAGTAGTAGTAATAGAGGAGGGTGTGAGGGGTAACATACATAAAAGACTTAAGGTTCTCTCGGGCTAGTGACGGCGGGACTACACTAGTCTCGGTCAGGTCCTCCCCCCCCCTCCAGCTGTTTGTGTGCCAGGCCCAGCACCTCCCTCCCTCCCTCCCTCCCTCCCGCTTTCCTTCCCTCTACCTGTTACTGTTGTTGTTGTTGTCATGATGAATCTCAGGTGGGCCAAGTTGTGTGGGAGAGGGTTACATGAGAGAGAGAGCGAGAGAGAGGAGAGGGAAACACAAGGTCGAAAGGGTCATGAGTGGGGAAACATATGGTCGAGAGGGCCATGAGAGGGAAACACAAGGTCAACAAGGCCACGAGTGGGCCAGACACACCTAGTGGATGTAGGTTGGCCCAGAACTGAGATAAAGTGTTATATAATGGTCGCCTCAGCACACGGAGACAGTCTCAAGCGGAGTGGGGAGGTAGGAGGGGGAGGAGGTAAAAGTGGAGGGTTGTGGGTAGGGGTGAAGGAGGTACTGGCGACTTGGGTGAGTTGAGAAGGTAGGGGTGAAGAAGGTAGGCATGACGTGGGGTGTTGGAGGTAAGGATGAGGTGAGGGGGTATTGAGGAATTGGGGTGGTGTAGGACGAAGGAGGTAGGAGATTGAGGGGATGGTGCAGGAGGTAGGGATGATGGAAGGGTTTAATAGTAAAAATAGGAGACGGGAAAATTTATAATAAAACTCTATATTATGATCCAAATAACCGTCTCTATTCCTATTACCTTACTTAGATACAAATCGCTCCTCACTACTTGTTATCTCACTGGCCAATCAGGTGAGCACTGCTGACAGGTACTGTACAGGTGAACACTCATTAATGGACCTGAACAAGTGACAGTGTTTGTCAAGCTGGAATTTAAGGCAGTCATACTTTATGCTGTCACACTCACACGATTTCATAAATACGGCTGCAAAGAATTTCACTCTGGCGGATTTCTATGCTGGTAGCTTGAAGTCACAGTATATTTGATTGAGTAATGTTTCTAATACCCTCTTAGGTACTTCTATACTTCTTAAAATACCTCTTGTGCCTCAATAGTGTGGAGGAAAGGCATGGGTAAGCGTTTTGCGGGGAGGCGTGTGAGGGAGTGCCGCCCGTCTCCAGTCTGGTGTTCCTTGTATGGACTTGAACACAACAACTGGCCGTATTAGTTTAAGTTGAACACCGAGACAGATTTCCAGAACTCCAAGAGAAAGAGAACTACACATTTGAGAATCCTAAATACGTATTAGATCTTGGTATTAATCCATCTAGTTTATCAGGAAGGCTCATTTTCTTGTCATAATGATACAGACTTCAGTTCGATGGGAGTATAAACACTTCAGGTCCTTATTTCGGCTCAGAAATTGTCTCCTTTACACTTCCGTATTCTTAAACCAAGGTGGAGGTGGATCCTGTTGCATTTCCCAGCCTTGGCTTTAAGTATCCGTGTTTATGATCATCCACGAAGCTTAACCTGTCTGTAGTTTGTCATTCAATATCGATCGTCTTTTTTTTTATTTAATGTTGGACCAATAGGTAAAGCTTGCATTCTTATTGTTCAACACGCTAAGCCAATCACTGATCCCTACTCCTTCCTTTATCTTCTTGTAACAGTTAAAGTTAATGTTTACGTGAAGACTTGATGTGTCCATAGTTAGTATCACCACAAATAAAATCATTCATCGGAGAGTGGTAGCAAGGCAAGGAATCCTAGTAGAGCGAGCTGCATGATTCTTATGTCCGCAGTACTCTCCACCTCCCTTATTTTTGGGTGATCTGAGTGAGGCGGTCCAGGCTCCACAGTACTGCCAGTTGAATTTTCGTGGGGTGGTTATAACTAGAATATGGGGGTGGGTTTAGGATACAGGAGGAGGAAGGTGAGGAGTATGGATAGGGAGGGGCGCTGGGGAGAATCTGAGGATATGGGGCGGGCTCTGGGGGGTGGCGGTAGGAGGGAGGAGGACAAACATTCACTGTCCTTACTGAGTCCCTCCTCCCTCCTCCTTAACACAGTACTGAACATTACACTCACAGAAGAGCTCTCTCTCTCTCTCTCTCTCTCTCTCTCTCTCTCTCTCTCTCTCTCTCCATTCATCTCGATCTACCTTTCTATCTTTATCTGTCCATCACTCCATCCACTTCTCTCTCTCAATGCCTCGTAAGAGAAAAAAACACAAATAATCACTAGACATTCTTCATCATAACCTTGAGGGGTTTAAAAGGGGATGGTGGAGGCGGGGAGGGAGGGGAGATCGGGGGTGGGAGAGGGATCGGGGAGGGAGATCAGGGGCGGGAGAGGGGCTTAAGGAGAGAGAGTTTAGATAGCTAGACTGTTGGTTTTATCATAGTTCGTGTTCTCAGAAACCCTTACTTTGGTTTTGTATTATATATCATTAGTTGAAGGGGGAAGCAGAACAAGTACAGCTGTATAGGACAGGTGTACAGATGTAAATTATATTGAAAAACTAGTTACAGGTGGGAGTCAATACATTTCAAAAGTGAGAACAGTATAGGGTAGTAAAATACAGTATTCATTCAGTGTTACATAATCCATCTACTTGTAAAGAATGGCCTTCGAACGTGTCGGGCCATATCCTCAAGGTCTTAGGCTGAAATTTTGTTCCTTATGTTCAAACGTAGCACAAAGTATCGTTTTGTGAGAATACACGTAGAAATTTTTATCTACAACACAACAAAACGGAAAATGTATTGGATGTTACAACTTACAAAGATTCATTTACACACATACATACATACATACATACACATACATACACACATACAGAG